AATCAATGATCCCATTTCATGAGTATATGTGATCGATGAGTGATCGTAGTTATTATTAGTTTATAACATTTTTTGGATAAAAATAAGAACATATAAATGAGCATTGGCAAAATCGGGAGATTAAAAGCCAAAAATAATCTCTATTGTCCTTAGAAATATCGGATGTTAAAATTTTAGCGAAACACTAAACAGTAGTGTTAGTGGCAATAGATTCGGATGTATGGCGTCAACTTGATATCCACAAAAAAAAAGTTTCTTTTACTCTCGTCTCGTTTAACCAATGAAATTCAAAATTCTAGTCCTTCAGTCGATAATCTCTTTCGATATTCATATTTAATCACTGATATATCATTTAAAGCATAAATCACCTCTACCAAATAGTCTTAAATTAGTAATTTTCAGTATTACCAGTTTCACACTAGAGATCAGAACGCCATCTATATCATCCTCTATTACATGTAAGCCTATTAATGTTTAGAAATAAATTAATTTACACTTTTAAAATTCATATAGATAAGGTTTCTTCTTTCCAATTTATTTTGTTTAGATATAAGAAAAAAAAAAGTATATATGAATTTTCAATTTTTCACCATTAAAACAGTTTATATATATTATATTAAAAACAAAAAAAACTGAACTTCTTAGATAGTGTCATAGTGATATATTTTGTGTCTGTGTTAACTAGAAGAACTAATTTCACCGAGATTGTTTTTTCTGTTAAAAGATTTTGCACTGAGATTACAGCCACGTAGCGGCGAAGTATGAGAAGAAAATTAGAAATCGGCCGCAAAAATTCTGAATCGAGAAGTATCAACTGAGAATTGCCGGTGACTTTATTAGTCTGAAAATTGCACATTCTCGTCACCCTTCCCAACACAGTCTCTTAGATTCTTTTCTTCCCCCCCAATTCTTCCGATTTTCTGTAAGTTCTTTTTTTTTTAAGCATTCTTTATTTCCATAAATAAATTTATTATTTGTTAAAATATATTTTATTAATAACTTTCTGTTTCCTATATATTTTTCTTGTACGAGACCACCGAATGAAGCTTTGATCACTAGTAGTAACACTGTAATTTCTAGGGTTTAACGTTCACTTGTTTCCGCGCGACTAAGTTATTTATTTAAATCGTTTTTATTCTTTTTTTTTTGTTTTTTTTTGGTATTTCATTGATTTCTGTCTCTCATGTGCACTTTTGTCTTTTGTCTTTATCTTTTTGAACTTATATAAGTAAATTAATCAAATTGAATACCTTAAATCCCAACTTTTCACAAAATATTTTGTACTCCTTTTAAAGCTACCGATTTATTTTCAGCTGTTTTGTGTATAATATTTCCCATGGAAAGTTTTTAACTATTTTTTTTTGGAATAAAGTAGACATTCCGGTATATATACGGTTTGGTTATCGTTCAATTATTTCCTGGTTTTTCAGCTTATTAATTTTCTTTATTCATATGTTAAAAATTGTAAGAAATTTCAAGATTTTAGTTGATATCAAAAAGTCATATAAAAAGTAACAGAGTGTTCTAGATTTTCTTCATTTATATCTAATTTAGAAGACTCTTTTCGAATGTACGGTTCATATGTAAGATCACTGTCATTTCGTCATCTGATTATTCTTCTGGGTTTAGACTCTTGGCAGACCGAAACTCTGAGTGGTAGTCACTAGTCAGTCTGGTAGAAAGCCATAAAAGGAAGCTTTCTATTTCCATTTTAATTTTTACTGCTCATTCGTAGTATTGTGAAATCATATTCACAGATAGATTTCTAATTTTATTGAAATAAATAATAAAAGTGAGAGAAAGATTTGGCAAAATCTAAAAAGTGGAATAAGAACTTTCCATGTAGCAGACCTACACCTGCTGGATTTTGGTATATATGTAGTACTAATTATTTTAATCTGTATTTGATTTGATAACTTTATTTGTTATTTTAGTATCATGTGACATGTGCTATTATTAAAGATTTTCAGTCCAAGATGTCTATTCTTACTTTTTAGCTAATCATCTTTTTTCTTTTTGTAAAATGTATCAATAACATTTGAATCGATATTTAATTTAAAAAAAAAAAACTGAAATGTAAAAATCCCTTTACTTTCAATAAATAAGACAGTAGAGTAAAATGAAGTCGCACGACGAAGATCTATTTTGGTTATATTGCGAGTGTGTGACAACATAAAGCAGATGCATGCAGTGGCGGAGCTAGAAAAAAAATTTACAGAGGTCAATTTTAATTTATAATGTATTCTAAACAAATTTTATGGGGCCATTTAGTTAAATTATTAAAATTATATCTAGTTTTTACATAAAAAATATAAATATTTATAAAAAATTTGAATTTTATCTAGGTCAATTGCACCCCTCCTAACATGCTCCTTCCGCCACTGGATGCATGTACTTTAAAATATATATATATATACAGTAGTATTTTTGGTTATACGGTATACCTATTTTTCATTACAGATTCCTAATTGAGTATAATCTGATCACTATTTAATACTATTTAAATACTAAAATGTGTATGTGCCACATAACAAAATTTCACATGTGAAATCATGTTTGGTGCACATGGCATATTCACATTTATACATTTTAAAATACGTACATATTGATATAATATGAGAGAGATGTTAATGGATGACACAAAGGCATGCGACTAAACAAAAGGGCTGGCTCCTAGCACAATACAATCTCCTAGAGTGCAAAGGACATAAGCAATAATAACTTTTAAATTTTAATATGATGTTTGTGTTTAAATTGTTGAATAATTTATTAATAAAGACTCCTCCTTTTGACGGGTGCGAAGACCGATTAAGCGGTCAACAGATTTTTACTCGGGGAGACAAAAGCAAATCCCCCCACCAATTTTACGAATTTTATTTCTAATTTTTTTTCTTTTCTCCATGAAAAAATAAAAAAACTATATATAAACGATTAGATGAAGATATTTTTATCTTCGACACCTTTTATGCCAGTTTTCTTTGAACGAAATGTCACTTTACTGTATCTCTTTCCAAATATAATTTGAATACTAATTAGTTAGCTCTTAACATATTCCATGAACGTACACATGCAAAATAGAGAACTCGGGGATGTACAATAATTTATCGCTTCTTTACGTACGGTAGCCCATTTGCTGTAATTTGTAAATTGTCTTTCTGAAAGTACCTTTCATTCATAATCTTGTGTTCCATCCCAAAGGAGAGGCCATTTTTGTAATATAGGTGATTCATACGTAAATGTATGCATGTATATGTTACATACGTAGACAGTAGACAGACTAGACGTACGCTTCAACATGCATAAATGGAGAGAGAGAGAGAGAGGGAGAGAGAGAGAGAGAGAGAGAGAGAGAGAGAGAGAGAGAGAGAGAGATTTTACGTAGAATGGTCAAATGGTAATTAAGGCTAAGAGATGATTTGCAGAGTGTGGGAATGCTGGGCTTTGAGGAGTCATGCATCGCATTAAACGAGGACGTGAGTTCCCATAATCCTAGTGGGGTTTAGAGAGAGAAGGTTTGAGGGAGAGAGAGAGAGAGTTAAATCTGCATTTAGAAAACTTTCTATTAATAATTTAATTAAGAGTAAAAATTAGTTTGCCTCTTAGGGTTGGATTTTTCCGGTTGGAATCTTAGGTTTTGTCTTACTACATGAAACTGAGACTGCTAATAAATTATTATTTTATATATTTTTTAAAGAAAATGTTGTTCTAAATTTTTTGTTTTAATAATGGTATACCCGAAGATCCCTAAAAAGTTCGGACTTAGACACTTAGTAAACTACTTAGCTTTGGAACTAGCTAGCCAATAGATATATCCTTATAAGAAAAAATATACCATCTCATCCCAACCGAGAATCGATCTAAGGAACAAGAATCCACCTTTTAAAGGATACAAATGTTACCACTAGCCCACAACTCAGTTGGTTATATTCATAAATTTTGTTAAAATCAAATTGCATAGACGTGTAGATGTTAAAAAATATTTATATACATGTATAAAAATTATTAGAGTATTTTTAACTAATCTCTTGCGATGTTATATATAGTTCATTGCTGATTATTCGTTTCAATATAATTGTGGTTTTAGAACATTTCTATTGTTTGGAATTAGGTGTCGTTTTCAAAATCTAATGTAATTTTTTTGGTTACAAATACCTATTTAATCCTAGTCAAAAATAAAACATATTTTTAAGATTTACATGTTTTCTAGAGACATGATGGTATATTAATTTAGTTTATTAATTAACTCGTGAGGAAACTTTTAAGGTTCTAAACAATTCATACATCTAGATAACGTTGTCCTTATGATTTGTAGTTTATTGGTATGTAAAAGTTTTCTAATTCAGATTCAAATAATGTACTAGAGTTTGAGAATTGTAGACTGAACGTTTTTTGTACTAAACAATTTAAGCCTGTATACCAGGTTTGAATCTGATAGTGCACTTTAAATTCTCAGTTGAACTTCTTAAAATAGTAATTATCAACACTAATCATGTAGTTAAAAACAATAAGCATATATATAAAGTGCTTAATTATATGTAGTCATCGAACTATATCAACTTCTCGAAAAATAATATTCTAATGAGCTAAAATCCATATAACTAAAGGGGTCTCTCTAAACCTTAATTAAAAACTTCTCTGCCCTTCCTCTATATTCATATTCATCTCTCAGAAATATCTTCTCCTTTGTTAAAACCCTAAAATTATCAGAGTTTCCATCTTTTAGAGAGAGAAAGAGAGATAGAAAGCTTTTGGCAATATATAAAACAGAAAAAATCTACCTCTCTCTCTATATATATATATATATAAACATCTTCTCCAATCTTTGAAAGGTAGTCTTGATCATTAATTTCTCTTTCCCCAATCTTTGATTACTGAATCTTTCTTTTTTCTCTGATTGGCGCAGAGCTTGGTATATTGATCATACCAAAGTGGGTAGGAGCAATAAAGTGATTGACTAATTAACCAAAACACACCAAACAGATTTGACTCAAAAAGGGAAAATGAATTCTAACAACTGGCTTGGCTTCCCTCTTTCACCAAACCACTCTTCGTTGCCTCCTCATGAATACAATCTTGGCTTGGTCAGTGACCATATGGACAACCCTTTTCAAACACAAGGTAATATCTATATACTACATATATGCTTTTCTTTTGTGCATATTTGTAAACAAAACAAATACAAACTGTATGTTTGTAGAGTGGAATATGATCAATCCACACGGTGGAGGAGGAGGAGGAGATGAAGGAGGAGAGATTCCAAAAGTGGCTGATTTTCTCGGTGTGAGCAAACCGGGAGAAAATCAATCCGACCACCTCGTAGCTTACAACGACTCGGATTACTACTTCCACACCAATAGCTTGATGCCTACCGTCCAATCAAACGACGTCGTCGTAGCTTGTGACTCCAATACTCCTAATAATAGCTATGAGCTTCAGGAGAGTGCTCACAATCTACAGTCACTCACTTTGTCCATGGGGACCACCGGTGGTAATAACGCTGCTGCCAAAGCTTCACCGTCCGAGACCACCGGGGATAACACTAGCGGTGGAGCATTAGCCGTTGTTGAGACGGCCACGCCGAGGCGGGCTTTGGACACTTTCGGACAACGAACCTCGATCTATCGTGGTGTCACAAGGTTATTTATGTGACTCATTACTCAAGTAATATTGTTTTTTTAAAGATTTTGTGATCTTATATTGGATTTTAATGATGTGTATGGTTTTGGTTCGATTATGTTTAGGCATCGATGGACCGGTCGATATGAAGCTCACCTGTGGGATAATAGTTGTAGAAGAGAAGGCCAGTCTAGGAAAGGAAGACAAGGTAAGTAATTTTTTTCCACTTAATGATCAGGTCGTGTCTTTTACTTTGATTTGGCTCATATATTCTAACTATGTTTATATATTTTTCTTCATTCTTTGTTCTTGCTGCGTAAAATCTTGGGGATCAATAAACAATCTCTAGTTTACTTGGGTGAGTACATCGAATTGGATTCTTCTTTACCATAATCGTTGATTAATCATACATATATTTTTTCTTTTACGGAAAATAAGTTAAATCAAATTCTTGGTATAGGTGGGTATGACAAAGAAGACAAAGCAGCAAGATCATATGATCTAGCTGCACTTAAGTACTGGGGTCCTTCAACTACTACTAATTTCCCGGTATGTTAATTCATGTTTTCGTGGAATATTCTCTTGTATGATTCTAATATTTGATTAATTAATATATCAGATTACTAACTACGAGAAAGAAGTAGAGGAAATGAAGCACATGACGAGACAAGAGTTCGTGGCTGCTATTAGAAGGTGTTTTGTTTGTGGTTTTCAATGGGACTTGTTCATATAAATCGAAACTTCTTTAATATAATAGCAACTTTATGTGTGCGTTTATCACAGGAAAAGTAGCGGATTCTCACGAGGCGCTTCTATGTATCGAGGAGTAACAAGGTTTATATGTATAGTAATTCACATAATATTCGTCTTATAGTAATTAGCATATACTAAAAATATTTACTCTGTCATATGTATATGTAGGCATCACCAACATGGAAGATGGCAAGCAAGGATTGGTCGAGTCGCCGGAAACAAAGATCTCTACTTGGGAACCTTTAGTAAGTACTTTGTTATTACATCTTAGACTGCGTTTGACACCCAAACCATATAAGAGTCGTCTCAAATTATCAAGAACCTACAGTTTAAGTCGATGAGCTAAAGAAAATTACATATAAATTTAAAAAAAAAAAATTAGAGCAAAGCAAACCATAAGAGTCGTCTCAGATTATCTAGAACCCACAATTTTAAATCAAAGTGAATTAAGAAAACCCTAATTCATATACATACTAATTTGTTTTTTTTTTTAGATAAAGGCAAATATATATATATATATTTTTAACCTTTAACTTTTATTCTGCAAACCTTTAAAAAAGTTTTTAGGCATCATTGAAAATACAATAGAAACATACTAATTTGTTTGAAAATAAATAACTTTTACAATCGGCATGTTTTAACACAAGGTTCTTCAAACCTTTATCTTACGCTAACAAAATGATTTGTTCTGTCCAGGCACTGAGGAAGAAGCAGCAGAAGCTTACGATATAGCCGCGATAAAGTTCAGAGGACTCAACGCAGTGACCAACTTCGAGATCAACCGGTACGACGTGAAAGCCATCCTAGAGAGCAGTACTCTTCCCATAGGAGGAGGTGCGGCTAAGCGGCTCAAAGAAGCTCAGGCTCTTGAATCTTCAAGAAAACGCGAAGCCGAGATGATAGCCCTTGGGTCAAGTTTCCAATACGGTGTTGGGTCGAGCTCAGGCTCTGGCTCCAGCTCATCATCAAGGCTTCAGCTTCAACCTTACCCTCTAAGTATTCAACAACCATTAGAGCCTTTTCTATCTCTTCAGAACAATGACATCTCTCATTACAACAACAACAACAACAATGCTCATGATTCCTCCTCTTTCAATCACCATAGCTATATCCAGACGCAGCTTCATCTTCACCAACAAACCAACAATTACTTGCAGCAACAATCGAGTCAGAACTCACAGCAGCTCTACAACGCGTATCTCCATAGCAATCCGGCTCTGCTTCATGGCCTTGTGTCCACCTCCATCGTTGACAACAGCAACAATGGAGGCAGCTCTAGTGGGAGCTACAACACTGCAGCGTTTCTTGGAAATCACGGCATTGGTATTGGGTCGAGCTCGACCGTTGGATCGACCGAGGAGTTCCCAACCGTTAAAACAGATTACGATATGCCTTCGAGTGATGGCACCGGAGGATATGGTGGCTGGACCGGTGAGTCTGTTCAAGGGTCGAATCCTGGTGGTGTTTTCACTATGTGGAATGAATGAAAAGGGATCTGTTTCTTGCGGCACAAAGAAAGAGGTCAACATAGTAACTATTTAAAATTTTCGTCATTATTCTGATTTTTTTTTTTCTTTCCTTGGAAGTAATAGAATCAATCTAGAAGGGACTTTTGGTAGAAGAATTTAGGTAACGCAAGCGGTTCTTTCTAAAATTGACGGCGAATGTGATGATTCTCGGTGGTTAAATGGTTCTCGAGGGTTAGGGTTTTATGGGTACTCAATCAAGTTCAAGAGTACCCAAATTTTGTTTAAAGCTAACCCTTTTGACTAATTTCCAAACTTGTAATTCGTATGTATGTTTCTCTAGTTCTTATATATTATCCACACTGAAGCGAGCCGACAAAAAAGTCAACAATTAGTAAAAATGTAAAATAGTTAGGTGTTCATTTTATTTTCCAGAAGCAATAGCCAATTCAACAAATATGTATCATATAATATTAATTTCTTTTACGAGATGTATAGAATCCACACTAACAACCTTTTTCTTGATATTTTAATACCACTTTACAAAACTTATTTAGAGGGAGGCCTCAATAAGTAAAGAAGAGAAATTTATAACTGAAGCCGGCTCAATATATACTTTATACGAAATAACTACAATCCAAAACATCTTAAAAGTTAGTGGGAACCCTCTAAGTAAGAAAGCAATTCCAATGGATTATAAACATAGTCAAGCTAAATTAATTAAGATCTAACATTAACATCGAGTACAAAGAACAAGACCACTAAAAATGGTGTCTCAAGGGACTTTCCTTGACCCTAGTTTTGCTCTTGGTAACTCTAATCTCACTTGGTGAAGCCAACAGCAACCGTAAGCTCCTGCAAACTCCCACCAACTACCAACCGCTACATTCTCCTCTTCCATCTCCGGTCTATTCTCCACCGGCTGATCTTCCTCCTCCTCCAAGTCTGGTTTATTCTCCTCCACCTGATCTTCCTCCTTCTTCATCTACGGTCTATTATTCTCCTCCTGCTGATCTCCCTCCTCCTCCTAGTCCGGTTTATTCACCTCCGGTTGACGACCTTCCTCCTCCTAGTCCGGTTTATTCACCTCCGGTTGACGACCTTCCTCCTCCTAGTCCGGTTTATTCACCTCCTGTCGACGACCTTCCTCCTCCTCCTACGCCGATTGATCTTCCTCCTCCTCAAGCTTACAAAGCCTTCTATTATACGAGATATCCATCACCACCACCTCCCACAAAATCATGGTGGTGGTTGTTGTGAAGCGTTAAGACAGAAGTGCATTAAATATGTAATGTCTTTGATGTCTCTTAATTTCCCCGAGGTTTCTGCGATTTATTCAATCACGTTTTGCTTTTTTGCTCGCCTAGAATGAGTGAAGTTTGATCCATCATCCATGCATTATCACTTTGTTTAGCCTTTTTGTTGTATTTTATTGATTCTTTTCAATTGATCTGTAACTTCAAAATTCTTGACTAAACATAATTAATAAATTAACTGTATTCGTTGATCGAGCTAAGGACTGCTTTATTACTTTTCAAAATCATAAATTCCAATTCAGACTAATTGACAATAATATACAATCAACGATGTTTTTTTCATTATCAATGTGAAAAAATTATACCATTATATAAGAAATAAGAAAAACAACCACCATTTTTGCTTTACTGTTTACACCCCAAAAAAATATCACCCATGCATTTCAAATGAATAAAAATCAAAACCGGACCAAACTAATCAATACTCTGTTTTGCAATAAATTAAATATCGTTTTTTAACGAAACATACTTCAATATTTTTTTTTGTAAAGAAAACTATTGTATACTAAGATTTAAATGGAAGTTTTGACTAGAATATATCCAGCTAATTTCCCATATATAAAATTTATTATAAAATATAAATAGAACATATCTCCCAAACTCAATTTGTAATCTTTCTCTGCAATATGGTGGTGTTGAAAACTATCTATTACGTTACTGCAGAGAAAATCTTCTACTAGTGCTAATGGTCTTTGATGTTCTTGAGTCTTCATATGAACAACTCAGGTCTCTTCTAAACCTTTACATATCCAAAGAATTAGTCAAAATGTATGTATGTTAGTATGTATTATGAAAGATCCATTTATAAAATGTGACTGTCTATATAAGATTTTATTATTGGGTTGTTCTAACTTCTAACCAAAAGAGTTAAGATATGGTCCAACCAAAACATAAAGAGGAGATCTTGAGAGTTGAGACTGTACAGATTTTCTTTGGTTGGTCAAACAATTATGTAACAATAGTCATGAAATTCACATTTGGGTCAAATAAATAAGACTCAGATTTCTTGTTTTTTGTTGGTATAATCTCTTAACTACCCAAAGAATGATGTAATAAAACAAAATGTAATAAACTCAGAGAATGTCTTCTGTCAAGAAGTGTAAAAGTGTAAAAGTATGAAAGAGACATAATAACAATAATAATAAAAAAAGCACTATATGTGATGATAACAACAAACATGTCAACAACAACAGTCTGAAATCTCAAGCTTTCTTTTTAGACTATTATTAATTTTTCATTTAAATAATTTTCCCTCACTTTCTCTGACCTTTCTTTGCTTCATCTTCAAATCTTCCCTCTCTATCTTGTTCAAAAAAGGGAAAGAATAACAAAAGAATTACGAAATTTTCTTCATCACGATATTTCAAAATCAAAATTTGGTCAAAGGGTCCCAGTTTTTTTTCCTTCTTGCCTGATCCTTTAATTTTTTTTTTTTTGTGATTTTCATAGAATTTAATGCTCATGGCTTTTATATGAATCCTATGAAGCATACAGGCTCCATTGAACAGTAAAATCTTGTGAAAGCTGGATCCTTTATAATACCGACAGAGGAAGATCCCAGATGGCAAACAAGGTAAGTGAAACAGCTTCAAAGATGGATGATTATGAAGTCGTTGAACAGATCGGAAGAGGAGCTTTCGGTTCTGCTTTTCTTGTCATTCACAAGTCCGAGAGACGAAGGTGAGTTCAAAAGAAATAGAGAAAGACCTGAAATTTTTGCAGGTTGTGTTCTGATCTGGTTTGAGATCAAAAATCTATGGCTTGTTCTTTGCAGGTATGTGGTGAAGAAGATTCGTTTGGCTAAACAAACAGAGAGATGCAAGCTTGCTGCGATCCAAGAGGTTAGCTTTTTATAGTGATCTTGCTTATATGATATAATTTACATCCAACGAGGATTCTTGAAAATGAAAATGTGTTTTGTTCTTTGTCTCTTGATGAAATTCAGATGAGTTTAATATCAAAGCTTAAGAGTCCTTATATTGTGGAGTACAAAGATTCATGGGTTGAAAAGGTAATTTAGTCCTGTTCAAAGCTCATAATCAAGCGCAAATTTCGCAGAGAATTTTAACTTTTTTGGGCGTTTTCATAATCTGGTTATGCAGGATTGTGTATGCATTGTAACTAGTTATTGTGAAGGTGGAGACATGTAAGGCAATCATTTCACATATTACATTCCAGTTTTCTGCTTCTTTGGTTATTATGCTCTGATGGTTTATTTTAACTGATTTTGATAAATGCAGGACACAAATGATAAAGAAAGCTAGAGGAACATTCGCACCTGAAGAAGTTAGAAACTATTAAGGAATCTATTTGGTATAGACAAGTAATGAAATTGACACTGATTCTAACTTAGGATTTATCTCTTCTTCTCTGTAGAAACTCTGCAGATGGATGGTGCAGCTATTGTTGGCTATAGATTACCTCCATAACAATAGAGTTCTTCACCGTGATCTTAAGGTAACTCAAACTTTTCTATTACTCTCTATACTTCTATTGCTTCAATGGAACATAACACTCGTTTAACAGTGCAAATCAATTATATTTACAGTGCTCCAACATATTCCTCACCAAAGAAAACGAGATTCGACTAGGTACAAAATTTCAGATGCAAAATCATCTCTTTGTTACCTCTTAAGAAGTTGATTTGAACCTCTGTATTCAAAATTATCTCTTTTTTCAGGTGACTTTGGCCTTGCAAAACTTCTTGGCAAAGAAGACCTTGCTTCCTCGGTAATGCTAATATTCCATTAGAATCTATAGCTTGTCACCGAAGTATTTCTAAATCGTTTTTTAATTTGTTTTTATAGATTGTGGGAACACCAAACTACATGTGCCCTGAACTTCTTGCAGATATACCTTATGGTTACAAATCTGATATTTGGTCTTTAGGTTTAATCTCTTTTCTTTAACTTAACACATCCCCAAAACTTTTGGTTTTTCTTGGTATCTCATAAAGATTTTGGTTTTACAGGTTGCTGTATGTTTGAAGTAGCTGCACATCAACCTGCCTTCAAGGCTCCTGTAAGAATTTTTCCACGAGTTAAAATCTGAAATTCCTTTCGAGCTTCTGAAAAATTCTGTTTCTTGGAAACAGGACATGGCTGGACTCATCAACAAGATTAACCGCTCTTCGCTTTCTCCTCTCCCGGTCATGTATTCCTCTTCATTGTGAGTATCACATATACATTTTAGTTTAGTTTACTGTAAACAAGCTTTTTAGTGTTGATGAAAAATTTCTAATATGCTTTTCAGAAAAAGACTGATCAAAAGCATGTTGCGAAAGAACCCTGAACATAGACCAACTGTGAGTTTGATGGTTTCTTTCAGTTTCTTCATTTTGCGTTTACTTCCAACTATTTTAACAGTGAAACGTTCTTTATAGGCAGCAGAATTGTTAAGACATCCTCACTTACAGCCATATCTTGCACAATGCCAAGATTTGTCTCCAGTTTTCAAACCGGTTGTGTCCAAATCAGAACACAACACTTACGGAAACAGAACATGCACTACCAAACCCGCGAAAACACCCATTAAACATAATCAAATAGTAACGGAAGAAGCAGAGGAAAGAGAGAAGAGAAACAAGAATACAAGTTCTAGTTCAAAAGAGAAAGAGAGACCAGCAAAGAGCCAAGAAATGTCATTCATTAGCACATTAACGCTACTACGCGAATATCAGAAGAAGAGCCCGAGAAGCGAGGAGAGAGCAGAAGCATTGGAATCTTTACTGGAGCTTTGTGCAGGTTTACTTAGGCAAGAAAAGTTCGATGAGCTTGAAGGAGTCTTGAAACCTTTTGGAGATGAAACAGTTTCATCAAGAGAAACCGCGATTTGGCTTACCAAAAGTCTCATGAATGTAAAGAGAAAGCAAAACGATGATGAAACCAGCCCTTAAAAAGAAACACTTAACCACAACTTTTTTTCACATGAAACCATTTTGTGTATTCAAAGACATTAATCGAAAAGCAATGAAGTTATTGACTAGATTCACAAAAGTTTATCAGCAAGCCTAATTTAGAATAATGTTATTATTAGCATAATCATAATATTAGTGTAATAACTTACACAATGTGATAATACATCAAAATGGGGTTATTTGACAAAATTATTTTCCAATGATTCTAAGGAACAAATCAGAACAAAAAAGAGTTTTGTTATATATGTCTCTTAGAAGCCCTCCTCATTATAATGCCTTTTTTTTACTGCAAGAGAAGAGCCAAGAAGGCGGAGAATGATGCAGCAACGATGGAGCCAACCACCGGAAAAGCCACGGTGGCGGAAGAAGCACCTGGTGCTGGTGCTGGAGACTCCATAGTAGCCGCGGTGGCTGAGCTCACTAACACGGCCGAGACAAAGAGGGCCACAAAAAAGTTCTTGACGTTCCTCATTTCCATTATTTTTTGTTTTTTCTTGTTTGTGTTTTTGTTATCTGATGCCTTAAAGGTGAAGGTATTTATACTATAGAAAAATGTGGAAGGAGAAAAAGAGAGAGTTTCAAGGTCTGCCATTAATTAGCGAGATAGTATTCTCTAATTTTTGCTGCTAAATTTAGGAATGAATAAATGGCAAAAGTAAACTAGAGCGATAATTGTTCTACGGATTGTTTGAATGAGTCTAAATAGAAGAATCTTTGATTTTTGCAAACGCACCTTTGGTCCACAGATGATCACATGGATTTACAGTAACATTTGCCAGAAATTAGTAAGACTGAGTTAAGTGAAAAACTCTGAACTACTGTTACACAAATGGATGTTGAAAACAGATTATTCCTTTGAATTTATAAAAAGAATACTCATTTGTTTACAGGTTTTACTGTCTTTACAAAGAGACTATACTCCAGAGAATGATTTCTGTCTTTGAGGAGGCAATTATTGCACATGACATTATCGACCTTACAAGCTCATTGTCTCAGGCAAACTCAACTCCAGAAAGTAAAGACTGCAAAAACAGACAAACACATCATCAATCATAAACTACTACAGAGATGATATGAGAATGCCGAAGCTATTTCAAAGTCTTGGTTTTCGGATTTGCGTTTTTACCTTGCAGACATACATGCCATGCCAACAAACACAGCCTTCACAGCTTGTTTCTGTCCAGCATAATCAAATGCTAAAGGAAGCATTTCGTGCAACGTTAGGAAAGCCATGATTCCACCAACTGGATCATACAAACAACAGATTTTGAATTGATTTGTTTTAAGTCCAACGATTTCTAACATAAAGTATCGATTTGCTGCAGAGTTTCTACTTACCTGCTCCCAACAAGCCTTCAAGGATTTCTGGACTTAAGCTGCTTGGGAATAGATAGGCTGCATCGTAAGGAAGATGGATCAAGCCAGAATTTATGATACTCTTCTCAACTCTTACGAGAACAGGTACTTGTACAGAAGAAGCAATTTGAACAAAGAAACCGATGCAACTTACCCACGATAACTACACCTAGAGGCTCTGCTAAACCAGAGAGCGTTGCCAATTTGAATGCCTGCCATTTGCTGTTATATGCATAACATCGTTTTCGGATGAATAAGAACACAGAGTATATAGTGAAATGCATACATCCTATCCTTATATACAACGTGGATAGAAGAATAAATGTGAATCCATATGCAACCATGTTCTTACCTCTCTGTTGCAAAATAAATAGGAAGTGCAACCGCAACACCCTGAAATATTACATCGGAGTAGCAAGAGCAGCTCGTCAAATCAGAGAAATGAACAATATAATTTTTTTTGAGATTAGTTTATAGTGGATAACAGACAGTCAAACAGGAAACACAGTAAAAAATTAAGACTTGATAGTCTTTCTAGGTTTCTTTAAATAAGACCGCCTTCAAAATTTTCTAATGGTTACAGAATCTTTACCTCGGGGATGTTGTGTAAAGCTATTGCCAAAGCCAAATTAACACCAACTCGCATGCCCTGTGAAGTAGAATCCAACAAGCAGAGATTGATATTAATACGTTGATGATGCAGGTCATCAGAGGGCATCGAGAGACAATAATTTGCCAGAATGCATGCTCCCTGAAATTTTCTGTTCATCATGTTCCTTAATCCGTACCTTAATTGATCCGAGAAATACGGCCATCCCTTCTGGAAAATTATGCAAGCTTATGCCTATAGTTCAAAGCGAAGTAGATAAGATATACATGACGAGTTTAGATAAACAGTTACACTATAACATTAACATCAAAATCAAGAAATATTTTATAGAAGTCCATGAAACATGTTACTTTCCGATTGAACAAACACAGAGATCACTAAGTCTTTCACAGTATTGACTGTAATAATAAGACTAAATATGAGCTTGCATAGTTAGGCAACAAATTACAGCTTAAACTAAATGCATCCAAAACTAGGACGACAAAGGATTAACAAATTAAAGATATGGAAGTGAAAGTTGGTATACCAATAGCTGTAATAATTCCACTATATAAGACTTGCCGGCGATGCTTCTTCACCATGTCCTTACCTCCCTCGTCTCCATTTTTCTGTTTTCAACAAATTTGCCAAACTTTCATGATACTACAGAACCACAACATTTCTGGCAGAAAGGTTTGGGAGAAAACTGTTTTAAAAAGAAAGAAAAGAAAGAAAAAAAACATTCTTACCTTTCTTCTTTTCACGTCAGTAGAAGGACCAATTGTTGGTTCGGGTATGAATTTGGCAATACACGCAAAGAATATCACACCACCAAAAAACTGCATCACTAGAAAACTATATTACTTTCAGTGTGAAGAAAAATTTATATCTAATTTTGTATAGCAAAACCACTGAGGCACAAGATAGACAGAGATACTAACCCAGAGATTTCCTTTTAAGAACCCAATAGAGTTTATTGCATTATGCGCCAAATCCAGGAAGGATATGCTCAACATCAGACCTGCCGCAAAACCCTGTAGAAAGGACTTATATGATCAGATCATTTACAATATGGATCAAATTTTCTAAGTGAAAAGAATGTTGGTACGGGAACACAAGTTCTAGACTTCTAGTCACTACCACCTTATAAACTTAGAGACAAGAGAAAATAGCAATCAATGAGACTCCACCAATGGGTCTATAAAATTATGGGAACCCTGCTTTACCAGACATTGACCCGTATTTTACAAAACTAAAATCCTCCTCTATGATATCTGAGAGGAATACATATAGGGACTTTAGAATGAAAAATTAGATCTAGCGTCACCTGCAGAAGTCCAAGCATCTTCATATTGGGAGTGTCACTAAGAACTACGAAAAGTGCACCTACGAAAAGTAAAATGAACCTTAATTAAACTGAAGAAAATCATCATCGCCTCTCATGCTAGCTAAGTAACAGAAATAAGAAAACTGAAAATTTCACATATAAGGATCCACAATTCATTATGTTCAGTTAAGACACCAAATCTTCATATCTACGAACTAGCAATGTATCGAACACAAGATCAGCATTTCCATTTGTAACACCACTGCACATAAAACAACATTTTGAAAGAGACAATCCAGTCTTAACCGAACAATTTTTGATGGCACAACAACAATCGATGATCCTACAAGTAGCTTTGACAATTTATTCAACGAAAATAATTCACACAAGATTGTAAACAAAGGCAAAAGTTCAGCATTAGAAGAACCATCATTCATCATTATTTAAACAATGAATCCTCATTCTAAAAACCAAACACTTGAAATTGGAATTTTCAAGAAAAAAGTGGAATTTTCATGAAAAAAGTAGACATAGCAACATTGACCCACCTAGAGAAGTAGATAATCCGCCCACGAGGGATAGTCCAAGCGCCACGAGCATCTGGGAATCCACCATTTTATCTGACAGGAATTTGAACAGGAAAGACCTTATCGCTCCTCAACAAAAACAAACACACAACCAATTTTTTTCCTGGTGATTCCAAGTAAATTCCTAAGTCGACTTCAGAAATGGAGAAGGCGAAGATTTAGTATATAAAGACGGAGACGAAGAGAATATCTAAACCGGAAGGAAGAGATAGTTTTGGGGATTAATCGATGGAAAGTGGAAAGCTCAAAACCCTAATCGATAGTTTTTCTCTTCAAATTCTTAGCCTAAGTGAGCATATTATGCCTGACCTTGCGTGCTTCTCGTTTTCTACCTAACCTTCCATCTTCTTCCTCTTGTCCCTGTCCCCTGGTTTATGTTGACCCGGGTTTATCTCGGGTCGAGATTACCCGGAGCCCCTTCTACAAGCGGGTAAACCAAATATATATAGTTTGGGAAAATTATCAAAACTTCAAAAAGTTTAGTTGACATATCAAAAAGGATCCAAAACTTTTGCTTTAGTGAAATCAAGTCCCTTATATATATAAAATATTAATTGATTTTTCTTGAAATCTGTGGGAGTTGCTTCAACATTAGGTTTAGCATTGTTGATATTATTTTCATATGTTAAAAATATATAAATTTATTCTTTTTTATCAATTATTTTTGGCTCATACTAGTTTTTTTTTATACTCATTTGAGTAGGTGTTTAAGATTTTGTCTCCGATCTTCCAGATGAAAGAGATTCATCTGAATTTGTAAGAGAACGAAGATAAGTTTATGTTAATTAGGATTTTGGTTCGAAAATTAGGAATGTCCTAGAGTAACAAATGCTAATTGTTCTCTACAATTTAAAATTTTAAATCACTAGAAAGGCCACTTTTCAAAGTTTCATAAATCTGATTATTCTTAAAAATGCTTGATTTTTTGTATTTCAACCAAGTTTATCTATTCTAAATCTTAGAGTTTTTAATAAACAAGAGCACTAATGCACGTGGAATTCTGCAAATTGAGTTCCTTATTACATCTACGTGTAGGAATAGAACTCAGGATAACAAAGCAATTTAGATTAATTATATGAAATAAGACACGTTCTAAAAACTTTAAGGAAGACCTCAAAACACTAATGGCAACTGCTATTCTCATAAATAATAATCCCAGCAAAAGAAAAAAAAAACAAACAAACAAACACGATCATTCTTGCTGTTCGACATCAGAAGCAGCATCCTCGTCCTCATGATCGCCGGAGCAATCAATGCCAAAACAAGGAAAATGGCCATCCCCAAAGGCCTTGACGTGGTCCTTAAGCGACCTCTTGTGCTTGAAATCCGAGCCACATGAGCAATACCAAAGCTTCCCACAGTTCTTCTCGTGCGTCCTCCAGTCTCCTTTGACTGCAAAAGCCTTTCCACATCTACGACAAGCAAATGGCCTCGCACCGTGTTTCCGCTTGTAATGTGTCTGAAGCGTACGGAAATCTTTAAGCGGCCTTGCCCTCGGGTGGTCTATGTTGTTCTTGCAGCCTGGTGCGCAGCAGTAGCAAGGCAGCCTGAGCATTGCAGTTGGTTGTGTCCCTCTAAGTGACTCCGGTCCTTTTCTGTATTGTGATCCATGTCCCCACATGTGCATCTAATAATAACATTTCATTATAAAATTGTAAAACACTTCTTGTTAAGCTTTGCCATTAAGATCAAAATCCAAACTAATCTTTGATTCATCCAATCGCCCACATCGTAAATTTGTGCAGTGACTAAAGAGATCAGTGGAACAGCTTAACATTATGTAATAAGACTTGCACAAAGTTTATGTAGCTAGTTTCAAGATACTTATCAGTTACTTGTGTGTATTTCTAGACAGACTTTTTATGCTAATAATATTAGTAATCCATGTACCTTTAGATAATTTTCTCTTCTATAATAATATTCACAAAAGGGTGTACGAGAATAAGATCTAAACATGTATGACTGTTTAAGGGTAATTGGAATAAAGAATATATATAGAGAAAATTTATACGTGATTTCCCTTTAGATAATTTATACCTTTAGACAATTTATACCTTTAGATAATTTTCTCTTGTGTAGATAATTATACCTTTAGATAATATTATTTTCGCAAAAGGGTGTACGAGAATTAAGATCTAAACATGTATGATTGTTTAGGGTTAATAGAAATAAAGTATTATTGAAAATTTATATGTGGGTTGCCCACAAAAATAATATATATATATATAGATACTATTACTATATAATTTGAAGACTGAAGACACAAAGAGTACAACATAATCTGCAAAACATTTATCTTCCTCTTTTTCTTTTACTTTTTAGGGTAATGAGTGTTGTGTAGTAGAACTGCGCAACAATCAAGAGAGAACAAAAACGGAAAAGGAAGACTAATCATATTTTAGGGTTAGAAGGAGTCAGTCTAGAGAAGACTATCGGTTAAAGAAGATCTTCTTGATTTTAAACCCATTGATTGATTTTAGTTGATGTTCTCATAGCCATCAATCAATGCTGTACAGCTGATGACTTGTACCATCAAATGAAAAGTTATTCTCGATTTTATACGAGTATCAATTATGATGAAAAAAAGGTCGTAGTGTGTGATAAAGATTTTATCATGATGAAGATTTGAAGGAAAATAACGAGAACTATAATTTAGAAGGAAAAAAATAAGAGAAGTAAATTAATTGAGATCCATTTTTCAAGAACAAAAAGTCAAACCTTGAAAATCATTTTAGGGGAAGTAGGAACTAAATTAGAGTTTGGTTTATCGGATGAATATATCCTTACCTGCATGTTGTTGTATCTGTTGAAGGTCTTGAAGCATAGAGGACAAGAGAACTGTGTAGGACCCATCAGAATCTGAGAAGGAGTAGGGATCCAATAGTGATGATGATGATTACCCCTTTGTACACCACCATAACCATCATCATGATCAGAAGCAAGTGTAACTTCTGCTCCTTGATCTTGATGACGATCCTGATGATGATCATGATGATGCTCTTGGTCGGTAGAATCAAGGATGACATCGCTGCTGCTGCTCCCACCACCACCGTAGGCAATAGCGTCGCCGCTGAGGTTTGCTAACCCTAGATGAAGATCCACGGTTACATCATGATGATGACTTTGATCAAGATCATGGTCAAGACAGTTTGAGTTAGAAGAAGTTTCGGTCGTCTCCATGAAATAGAACTCATGAGGATGAACAATAGGTTCTTGATTCTTATGAATGGGGCTTAAGCTAAGGAGAGGAAGAGCTTCTCTGAGTGGAGGAGAGTCGGGTAAAGTAGAATTAGGTTTTTCCGTGTTGATGATTGGGTTTGTGGTATTATGAGGGTAATAGAAGCTGCCATGAGAGTCGTAGATGTGTGAGAGAGAAGTGGAATAGTTGAATCTATAGTCATAGTAGTCGACATATCCATTGTTGAGGATACAAGCTGGATCAGACATTACTTTGAGGAGAAGAGGGAGAGAATAAGAAGAAGGCACGATCTCTAGATGATGTGGGTTGGGTTTAGAGAGGAAAGAAAGCTAGATATGCATGTATGTATTAATATGTGAGTGTGTCACGTGTGTGTATGAGTTGTATGAGACATGTCACTCTTGTGTGTGTGTGTGTATATATATATATTAGGTTTGCAATGTGACAAAGCGGTGGAATAGCATTTGATAATTGATAGTAAAAGGGTATACGGAGAAGACGGTAGGGAGAAAGAAACAAAGAGAAAATTTGAAGAAGGGAAAAGGAAACTTACTATCTTGGGACTCGAAGTGCACGCATGTATTTTATTAAAATAAAGTCAATCAAAATTTTTTTATGAAACAACCATAAGCAATTAAGTAAATTATTAAAGCTTTCTTGTCACAAATTAAAAGTAGCGGATATCTCTAAGATCGGGGAAAAACTAAGCGTATGTAGGTTTAGGGACCTTCCAAAGGGAATGTGCCTCGCGGATCACGTGTTCATATTTCGATGTTGAGGAGAAAACTAATTTTGGATGTTTTAGTCTTCTTGGATTCAAAAAGTTACTGGTCAAAAGCTCAAATTAAACCTCTAATTAGTAATAAAATAAATTTTTGATCGAGGTTAAATATTTCTAAATACGTTAGTATGAATAAATTAATTCATCATATGTATATAGATCTATATATAGTTTTAAGATTATATTCTTTTTATAAAAAAAACAAATCGGATAACGTGATTGGTTTCAAATTGTTTTTTTCGTTTTTAAGAGATCGGTAAACTAAGTTACCGCTAATCTGCAATACATATTACATAGTTTTTGAATCTATTGATGAAGATGACTAATAGGTTTTATTTTAACTTACAAGATATTTAGGTTGAATGTTGATACCCACAAAAGCTTGAGTCCCTCGTCGAAATAATCCATTAGACAGACAGAGTATGGAAAGGATCAAATAAAATGGACAAGATCGGGAATCAAGGATAAAAGTTTGTCTCCTTTAATCTCTAAAAGTAAATTACAAAACGTATGTAGAGAGAGAGACAGAGAGATAAAGCATAGAATCAAGAGTTGATAAACATTTTTGGTTTTGTGGGAAGATTGATCGCGTTGGAAAAAGAGACGGTCGTGATCGAGGACAGCACTTGCGTTGGTGGCCTCATCTCAATGTCGGCTCGGCTTCAGAAACATATTACTTGGGAACTCCAAATCTTTATTTAACCAATTTACATAACTTATAGTAGTAGTAATCAAATAAGAAGGAATATAGGTAATATTTGAAATGCAACTTTCCCTAACGTTTTTAGATGTTATACACCGAGTAATAAGAAACCAATTACTACAACCACTAGATAATCATAAGGTCACCTTCATTTTTTTTTTTTTTGAAACGTAGGTCACCTAAATGTTGACGTTATATATAGACTCTATAAAGTACTTACTCTGCCGTAATTAATATATATGTTTTATATAACAGTCGTTTTAGATTTTCTAATACTATAACAAATATTTTATATGAAATCTGATGCGTTAATATAGTGGTATTGCTTTGTTGGTCGAAACTATGATCAATTTCATTATGTTCGCATATATACCACCATCTCAGCCTCGAGTAGTTTAGGTTCTTTATATTTTGACGGTGGATATTGATCCAGAAGAGTTAGTATACTTTTAAAAACATAGTTCTATGATCAATAAATAAGTTGTATACCGAAAATGTTCCCAAAATAAAATAAAAATAACTTATTTTTTCATACTAGTTCATTTGAGTCAAATTGTTTATGAATTTTGTGTTCTTTTGGGTCAACCTTAGTGGGTTTAAACAGAAAAGTGAGTGGTCGCACCGTGTGAAATAGAAAAGATTGACGACCAAAGTTTAATATATTTTAGAGTACATGTTAATTAGTATTAATAAACGAACTAATCAGGAGTTGTTCAAAAACAAAAACAAAACGAAACATGAGGTGTTCCCGAGCGAGCACGATCGAGTGAGTGTAAATTGTTGTGTTTGAACCTTTTTTTTTTTTTTTGGCACAAGTGCATTCTTTCAACCTCTCTTGTCTTTTATGTATCCTTTGTTGTCTCGTCTCAGACATTTTTATCTATATATGCACCTCATGTCAATTTCCTTTTTTAATGTTATTATTTTATTTTATGTGCATGTCTGTTTGTGTTTAAAGTATATCTGTTCTTCTAATCTAACTAAACTCTTTGCTTTGGGATTGGCCATGATGTTGTTTTCTGAGTTCAACTCAAATATATAGGTATGCTTTTTATAATATCTATTATTATTTTTTTGAATTGAGGAGTATATCATGTTAACTTAAGAAAAAAAAATCATTAATTAACAATTTTGAATACAAAATGGAATTGTATCAGTTTGAAAATAAATTAAAAGTAATACCCACAAAACAAAGAAAAAAGAAATAAATAAATAAATATGGAATTGTATCAGTTTAAAAAAAAAAAAAATTAATATCCACAAAACAAAGAAACGAAAGAAAAAAAAAGCATACAACTGATCTTTCCTTGAAAGCTACATTATCCACAATAACTGTAAATGGGCAAAATTCAAAAATTTCGTCGCCTGAGAGATTCGAACTCTCGCGGGGAAACCCCATGTACTTAGCAGGCACACGCCTTAACCACTCGGCCAAAGCGACTACATGTGTTTAGAATCATCTTTTTTAATATATATACCGTTATATCTATTACAAAAATCGTCTTAATGTGTAAAGGCCCACCAAGACTAAAAGCCCAATGAAGCATTGTTTTCTTTTATCTTCATTTTTTTTTTTTTAATTTAAAACACTTCTTCCGTTGAGCTGAGATTTCCAAGGCACGATTCGAATTCGAAGCTTCAAAATCAGAGAAGCTCCTCGAAAGTTCCAATCGATTTGATCATCCGTTCAGTCGACACCGAAGATAGTTTGCGCAGGCGACAATGTTCTACAGAGGGTAAGCCCCAGATTATCTCCGATTTGTTCGTCAATGATTTGATTACATTTAGCTTCCGCAATTAGGGTTCTTTGTTGTTTTGTTATCGGGTTCGATCCATACACAAATCACTTCAATTCAGATCCTGGTAGAGTTTAATCCGTTTCGATTCCCTTTAATTTCTCTGTTTGCTCGGAGATTTTCGACCTGCAATCTCTCGAAATGGTGTAGGAAGTCTTGGCTTTAGTTTTATCCTAGAAAGGGTTTAAATTTTAAAGATTGAATATTGTTCTGGTGAATATAGATATGGAGATGGTCCTGATGGGCGTGAAATGGGACCTAAGCGTCAAAGAATGATCGATCAAGGTCCTCCAGGACCATTCTATGGACCTCATCCTGGTTCAGGCTTTATGTATAACCCTTATGGATTCGTTGCTCCTCCACCTCCTCCTGCTTTCCCTGTGGTTCGACTCCGAGGTCTTCCCTTTGATTGCGCAGAGCTCGATGTAGTAGAGTTCTTCCCTGGCTTAGATGTGGTCGATGTCTTATTTGTTCACAAGAACAATAAGCTCACAGGGGAAGCCTTTTGTGTCCTGGGTTATCCCCTTCAGGTCGATTTCGCTCTCCATAAGAACAGACAGAACATGGGAAGGAGATACGTTGAGGTTTTTAGGAGCACGAAACAAGAGTACTATAAGGCTATTGCTAATGAGGTTGCGGAGTCTCGTGTCCATGGTACGGTTAGTGGTGACGGCGGAGGAAGCAGCGGTGGAAGAAGTGGTGGTGGTGTGAGTGGTGGTGGTGGATATTCACCTCGCAGGAATGTGCAAAGGGCTAGATCCAGTTATGATGGGAAAGAGAATGCTGAGCATACGGGTATCTTGAGGCTGAGAGGGTTACCTTTCTCAGCAGGGAAAGAAGACATAGTTGACTTCTTCAAAGACTTCGATTTGTCTGAAGACTCTGTTCATGTTACTGTCAATGTTGAAGGGAGACCCACTGGAGAGGCGTTTGTGGAGTTTGAGAACGCAGACGAGTCGAGAGCTGCGATGGTCAAGGACAGGAAAACGCTTGGGAGCCGTTACATAGAGCTGTTTCCTTCATCGATTGCGGAGTTAGAGGAGGCGTTATCAAGAGGAAGATGATCCCACCACTTGTGTCGTGGTAACTTTCATTACTTTTTTTCCTTCAAAAATGGTTGTCACAAGATCACAATTTCAACGCATTGATGATCGTTCCGGTTTTGATGTACTATCTGGTCAGGCAGGGCCGTGTCTATGTTATGTATTGGAAAACATTGGCCTAGGGCTTAACTTTGATGAAATACTTTGCTTGTTTTCTTCAAAAATATATTAGAATATAATTTGAAGTTCGCGTTTAATATATTTTTTTCATACATAATAAAAAAACATTTTAAAAGGAAATGAAATATTGAAACAACTTTATGTTAAGATATTAAAAAAACAAATCTAACTAATATTGTTTGTAAATTTATATTTTGTTATATAATTTTTCGTTCAACAATTTGATTTGGACAAAAGCCGCTATCAAACATTTGTTTGGGGCCATAAAATTTAAAACTAATTTAGAAGTCATTTTGTACAAAGACTAATTGTTTAAATGGCCTATGAAAAATGTGTTTGTTGTTATTTGCTAGTGATCATAATTGTATTTTTCATCTTTTAATATTAATCAAATATTATATTATAAAATTAGATTTTTTATAAAAAAAAAAACTAACTAAAAAAATAAACGAAACAAAAATTATACTGTCAAAATACGATTTAAATCTACTACCAAATTTATTCAAAGTAATAGAAAACATATATATATATATATACATTCTAAATTACAATTTGAAATTACCTATACATTAATTAGTTCATATTCAAATCTTAAAATTCTATTAGTTTTGGTCTGGTTTAATGCAATCAGATGATATTTAATCAAAGTGTATTTAACTAGTTTATAATGCTTTTTCTTTTTGCTAATAATTACTTCCTCCGTTTCACAAAGAGTGTCATTCTGACATTTTTCACACAAATTAAGAAATAAGATAAAATGTCTCTTATACTCTTATTAATTTGCAGAAAATGACTCTTAGAATTATATTTATAATTAATTTTCTGAAATTATTGAGATTAAAAATGGTATTTTATGTTAAACATTATATTGAAATTCTAAAACGACATTCTTTTTTAAACAAAAAAAAATGTCAGAACGACAATCTTTGTGAAACGGAGGGAGTAATATTTAGTAACTTTTGAAAATGCAATCCATATGACAAAAACTAAAGAACGTATTTGAAACTTTCATAAAAATACGTTTTTGTTAAGATTTAATTCATAAAATACGTTTTTTTGAAACTTTCAAAAGTTATTAAAGTTTTCATCCAAAGAACATCGAAATTTAATTTATTACAAAAACTCTTGTTGGATTGTAACATTATTTAGGCTATTGCTTAAGTTGTGGAAATAGGAATATTGATTGATATTCTTGCCTGTTAGTCATGTGGTTAAAACGGCAGAAACCTTGAAGTGATAAATCGTTTTGGATACTTTGTAGTGTTTATTGGGTAAACAGACTGGTAAAAGCAGTTTGTCTTCATTGATATGTTAGTTTGGTGCGAAAAGATAAACAGTATGGAGCAGTATGTATTTTCCTGTCTTTGATATTTTCTTGACAGTAGTTCAGACATTTTAATGGTAAAGGCCAAAACCACTGAACAAATATGTATAAATACAATGGTAGAATAGTTGTTAGGTTTTTGTAACTTCTTGCCTTTTTCACTTCTAATATCACTTTTAAAACTTGTAGCAAAATATCAAAAACAAATGAACGGCTGGATCATAATCATTGTTAGCATTTAATTTTACCATCTGAAGATGTTACTATGCAAGCAGAAGAAACTTTGGGTTTATCCAATTGAAAACTACACCTTTTCTTTTGTCATTATGCTTTCTCACACATTTCTGAAAGGAATCTGACAATTATTTAATTTGAACTTTCTACACTTAAAGGTTACAATCACAAAGAAAGCTATTGTAAATAATAGCGCCATCTATTAGAAAATATTATAAATCATTATTATCTGGGGGAAATTAAGTATTGATCATTTAAAAACAAAAAGGTAAAAAATGCAAAATCTAATAATTTTACTCTTTATCCAGAATGTGCTGCAAGACGGGTCTCTAACGAGTAACGACCAAGTTTTATCAAATGCTCTACAAATTTTCCCCAATGCAATCAATCATAATCTTTTCTCGCACCTTGAAGGACTTGGTCATATTCAAACTAAATTCAACTCCAAAAGTCCAAGTCTGCCGTCTTCCACTATCGGTCATGGAATGGTGTACCGTTATTGAAAAGAAAAAAAAAAACTTCACAATGGAAAAGTCAGAGATGGAAGCAGCCGAAGGCTAATTTGCAATACCACGTACACATTATGTTTTGTTTGCCATTAAGCGTCGATGATAATGTGAGGTTTGGCTTCAGAAAAGTGCTAACATGTGGAAATCGGATGGCCACGCGGAATTTAGAAGACTTTCGAAGAAGAATAACAATATGTGTTTGTTAAATTAACTCATCGCCATAGATTTCCTTTTTATTTGTCTTAGTAATTTTTGTACTTGTCAAAATGCCAACTTGATGGAAAATTCATACATACTTTAAGAAAAGTACATTTTAGCCTAGACTTATTTTTTTGCTCTATGAATTAAAACTGTGCTTGCAGATATATATGATGATGGTATTATATGAGAGAGAGATTTTTTTTTGTCGGCAACTTATTCTTATGTTATGATATAAGGGTTTCGTTGTACTCCAAGATACAATATATTCTCCGGCTAACTTAGCTTAGCTAATCTATCTACAGATCTACGATCACTAACAACAATCCTGTTCACATGCATGCGTATAAGAGAAAGTACAAGGCTTAGTAGATTATATACGTTACAATGCTTTAAATTTGAATGGAACGCTACAGATATTTTGTAATTATAGCGAATTTAAAATATACATTTGCTAACCCAAAACCCAAAAAATTATAAACTCCTTTATCTGTTTCTCTGTGTGAACACTTAAGATATACGAGAATCTAAAGTGCCGCTTCTCATAGTGAATCCTATGTTTAGGATCCCATGACAAGAGCCAATCCCGCAGATTTATGTACTTTTGGGGGTACTTAAAAGTTTTATTCATTTTTAGTCTTTATTATTAATATCAGACTCCAAACAATATTTAGCATTTTGTTTCTAAAACTGGTACAACCATACCCCAACTAAAATCGGAAAGAGTTAGTTGGGGTGTACACAAACCCATATTTGTAGTTATACTTATAATACATTGAATTTGCATGTCAGTCCACGTGATCTCTTTCTTTCCTTCCTACATCAAAGTTTGTGTTTGGGGCTTTATCTTATTATTTGTTTTCTTTTATTTTTCCGGTTGTCACTTTTAATTTAACTATATTTTTGTACGGTATACAGTAGGACTCTATTTTGTTTTACATGATCTTCGCAAATTTTAATACCTAGATCTTTTTTTTTTTAATACTTAGATCTGACTATGAATATATCATGTAACACTCGTATATTCTGCATGAACAAAACATGTAGAAAAGGAAATTTCTTAAGATTAAGATATACTCCATACAAAATATTTTGGGACTCATTTTTTAATTTTTGTGTGTGAATATATATATGTATGTATACTCCAGTAATAAATGACATTGTAGAGAAGTGTTAATGTGATAGTTAGTTGCCATTTGTAGTCTCAAATTTCTGTACACGACTATTTGGACGGCAGAAAACAGAATTAAATAATAGTAACCTCATCTACTTACAAAAAAATAGGAAAACAATAAATAAATTAAAATGGAAAAAGGTCAATTTTCTCGGTTTGTCGCTGTCGGGGTCCTATGTGCATCCAAACCGAATAATTTAACCTTTTGTGGGTCGTCAGTATAACTCTCTCTCTAGTCCGACACCATTTATGTATTTTAATAGAAATGTTTTACTACTTCCCAAAAATTACAGTCACCATGTGAAACTGTGAATTGTCAAAGACTCAAGTTGTATGTGCACCAGCACCACTGTAAACCTGAATTTATGACATCAAAAATATCCCTGTTTTTTGCTATTCCTTAGTTTTACCGGTTTATCATTATAGTAGCTCAAGATATCCATGTTTGTTATTATTGTTATAATTAACGAATAAATACCTTTTAACATTTCGAACTATGACATTAATCAACTTATCTTATTCCTGTTTGTTTTGTCAACTTTCAATATCTCACCGTAAGTATATATGAACTTTCGTATTATATAACGCATTTTTGCATTATATGTTAGAACAATATTTTGTAAATTTTCATATGAGTTCTTTGATTCTTCGGCTTTGACTGGTGGAAATATTAGAGTAGCAAGTTGAATTTGAAGAAAGAAACAAGAGGAAAAGAAAATTGAAGCGGAAAAATATTTTCATTCATAATTAAGCTTTGTAGAGAAAAAAAAATCTTTTGTTTAATTACCCATTTTTCCACTTTTCAGCAAAACGAAGCTTCGTTTTTTTTTTCCTGATCGGTGAAAACAAAGCAGAACTTGTAGTAAACTTCGATTCTGATGAAAAATTTACTCTATATTTTTTATACCTAGTCAAAGCCTTATTAATGTTTACGATTTTAGTCTTTTAAAACGGCAAACATAAATATACGACCCATTTTGTTGGTCAGACTTGCAAGCAATTTGATCCTTAAAAAACTTAAGAAATCTCTTTGCCTTTTTAAAAATCAGTTCATCACTTTTCTTTTGTTCGTCTCAGTGAAAACTTTAGGTAGTCAAAATTCATAAACTTTTAAAGCGACACTCCCACTAACGTGTTGACTCGTGTCTCATACTATATATGCTAACTAAGCAAATAGGCAACGACTCTCTTCTTCTTCTTCTTCTTCTTCTCTCTTTTCCTCTCACCTAATCTCGCAAAAAATAGAAAACCCTCTTCCTATTTTTCTTTTCTTGAAAAAAACCCTCTTTTGATTAGGTCTAAGATGGCATCAAAAAAGGCAAGAAGACCAAACCGAGCTGAGAAGAAACTCAAAAGACCCCATTTCAAGAAACAACTTCCACAACACAACAACACCACCACCGACACAACTACTACTATTCTCGATCAAACTTCTTCATCTACTATTGTCTCTTCGTGTTCTTCCACGACGACGTCGTTTTCTCCTCAAGATACAAACTACTCTATTCCCTCTCCTTCTCCGGCGGCGCTGACGACGTCGCCAGGCAGCGGCGGTTGTTGTACCCCGAAAGCTCAGAAGTCTCGGATACCGGAGATTCTGACGTGTCCACCGGCTCCTAAGAAGCAAAGGGTCCCACAGAACTGCGTGTTAAGACGGAGACAAATTGTTTTCTTTGCTCCTCCGGAGATAGAGCTCTTCTTCGTCAAAGCACACGATCGATGAATAGAGTTGAATTAATAGTCTTTTTATTTTGTTATTAAGAATAGGATCGATACAGAGAGTAGTATGAGAAGATGATCAAAATTTATCTCTTTGATTTGTTAATACAATAACGAAGAGTATATTATAATGTTTCGTGTGATGTTTTATTTTTCTTATTATTTTTGGGTGTTCTTCTCTTTTTTGTGTTTACATTTTGTGTCTTTGGCGCTTGTTTTTTTTGGGTATAATTTGAATGAAGTCGGTTTGAGTTTTGTGGTAGGGTATATTAAAATCAACTACGATATAAACTATAATTGATACCCAACCCTTTAATCAATTTTATAATTTTATTGCATCCCTTTTTTCTAAGTGCTATGTGTTAGGTTGCTACTGACTTTAATTTCTAGCCAATTATCTTTATCAGTTTTTGTCATTTCGATGTGGATTTAGATTTTCCCTTTTTTGTTCACCTAACGTATCGTTCTTCCTCGCCGGTTTGTTCATATTGCCTGAGTTTGTTCACGTTCCTTGACAGTCAAATTCGGTAAAGCAGAATCGTTTTAATTTATAAGTGACATATTACAGCTTTCCAAAATAATACCATATCATACAATATTATTTGATTAGCAGAAACAGTCACTTTCTACGAGGAACATCACACTAAATTTAGGTCCCAATAACATTAATTAAAACAACACCGGTCATCTTCTTCAATTACTACAAGTTTACACCGCTGAATTTGTGATTATTAAACTTTAGCACCGCATACCAAAATAAAAATTAAAAAATTATAGGCGTGTATGTATGTATATGCACACACTTTTTATTATATAATCAACAAAAATCCACAAAAGTAGTTTTGATATTCCCTATTTTTATTGGGTATGTAAAATAATGGCAGATTATATATCATTAATTAAATCCCACTTTGGTTGATATGCTCAATTTTGTTTTGTCTGGATCCAAATTTGTTAACTTAATTTTACTATTTTATGTTATATCTCAAAAGTGTACTATATTTTTCACTTTCTTCCCTAATTCAGCTCACCTTTTTGTCACACTTCATTACATTTTTAAAATAATTTTAGACTAATGAGAGAACATGGATATGTTTAAAAAATAGTGAAAGCAAAGAGACGAAAAATATGTGAAGAGTTAGTGGGGATGGCCACAGTGTCGAGGCAGAGGATAACATCTGCCAAGGGAATCCAATGAAGCGACTCGTGCGGCTTTTCTCATCATTTTCTTTTCTCTCTATTTTTTCTTCCATAATTTCTCACCAAAAAGTTAAAATCACATCTTTATTTTTTTCTTTGTTCGACAAAAAAGATAAATCATTCGTGACTAAATTACATTATACATAGGGCATGAGTACATTCAGTGACACTCGTCTTTAACGGTTTCAAGTGGTTTTAACGAGTAGTTTCAAAATAAATTCGGAGCAATACAAGGACTTCACGTTAGTGATTAAACCCCATTAACCCCTAATAATTTTTTACTACTTTTGGATGCTCCTCTGCATTTATATCTTTATTTCGTAGGTTTTCACTTTAATGCTTTGTTATCAAATTTATGACCTGTTTTCTAATTTTTCTAACTTCATGTTTTAGTTAGTTTTATTTTTTGAGAATATATTTTTGTTCTGCCAGCTTGTACCTTTGGTAAAATATTCTTATTCTGTTGGCTTTTGTCTCCAACATTTTGCTGAATTCAACAACTTTTTCTCTAGAAAATTTTGGATTTTCGCTTTGTGAGACATCAAGTTTATAATTTCAATCAAAACTACTACATGACTAAAATAACACATGAAAGACTTTAATAAAACTCCAATAAGCTTATATAACCAATATTTGTAATATCTAATTGATTTATTAAAAAGGGAGAAGAAGAAAAGTTCTGACAAAGGGAACAAATATGTTTATTCAACATGATGATTGCGATTTTAATTGATATCCCGTAAAATAGTAGAATGATTTTGCAATTATATAAAATTTGAATCATTAAACAAAAAATCGAATCAATCACATACTATCTGTTTATAAAAATGTATTTGTTTTAAAATAATTAGCCAATTTCATGATTAAAAATTACTGTTCAAATGTTTTATTTGTAAGAAATATATTAATTTGCATTTCTCCAGTATTAGTCCATTACCAATCAGGCAGCTAGAGTAGAAAAAAAAAGTCTCTGTAAAGTTAAGATGATGGGCGTTACAATATAGGATATGGGCCTTGTAATATAGGGCTTATAAGCCCATTCGGAGCACTGACTCCATATTCGAACTATATATATTTCATTAAATTAGTTGAAATTTTTGTGTGTTGCCGCCGTTCACGTGGGCAGCACGTGGCAACCAAGATTCAAAACGGAACAAAACTTATACATCCTACGACGATCAAAACAAAACAAAATAGATTTAATTATTTCAATTCAATTCCATAAAATTGTTTTTTTTTTCTTTTTCTTCCTCTTCCTCTGACTGAGACTTTATCAGATCGTTCGTCTTCCAAGCGGAAGCGTCTTATTCAACCACCGTAGACGCCTCCGAGACGGTCTCATCGTTCTTTGATTTAAAGGTATGTTGAAATGGTCGATTCTCATCAATTCGTTGTTGATTCATGATTGCATGAGCTGGTTTTACCTTTGTTCTAGGGTTTTGTTCTGTCTCTTCTTATTCCCTCTTTCAATCTTCCAAAGCTGCGAAATTTTTCTCCGATTACGTGAATTCCATCTTCAAGCGTTTCTGGGTTTTGCTTTCTACTTGTTACCGAGCTTCTGAGAGCTGCGATTGCTAAATCGTATTTGATTTTTGCTGTTCTGTGTGGATATTTTTTTTTGCCTTGACCGATACAATTCGATTAGGTAGCTGAAATTCATCACTAACAATCAGATTTCGAACAGGAAATTGAAGACATGCATTCAAAATCTGACACTGGGAACGAAGTTGTGTCAGATGTGCATCATACATCATCGTCGTCGATAAATAGTTTAAACCATTGGCAGCGTGCTGCTGCTGCCTGCAACGCAAATTCTTATGTGGAAGCTGGAGTAAATTCTTCCAAGTCTATAGCATTGGAAAACCAAAGTAACCGAGAATCAAACGGGTCGAAATCACCACCTAATAGAGATGATAATAGTAACAAGGAATCACAAGTCACAACGTCTCCCCAATCAGGTGCATTGATTTGTTCTTCTCAGTGCTTATGCTTTGTGAATTTGCTTACAGTCGTTATTTAACATTTTTGACCCCAAGTGTTTGTTACTGTATTTCGATTTGCAGCTAGTGAAAAAAATCAAGAGCTCCTGCATCCTGGCATCACAGGACCTCCTCACCCTCAACTTGTTGGCCACACAGTTGTAATTTCCCAATATATCTTTGATTTTGCTGATACATGTTTTGTTTTTGAGCTACGGTTGCTTACTATTTCGGTTTTGGTTATGAGTTATGCAGGGGTGGGCATCTTCAAATCCATACCAGGATCCATATTGTGCTGGAATGATGGGAGCCTATGGACATCATCCCTTGGTATATGATTTCATTACCAAACTATTTATAATGCTTTCCTTAAGCCCCAACTATTTTTCTCTGTTAAGACTATTTGATTTGATCATGTGACACGATTGGATGGCATGTCCTGCCATGATTCGTGGCTGTTATTGGGTTGTGAGACATGAGATTTCAGGTTCAAATATTCTACTACTCGTAGGTGCTTTGAACTCTAGCATGTTTAAAATTGCCTTGACTATGTTCGTCGTTTGAGGATTTACAAGTATTCTTGATATATAAATAAACTCTGATTTAAATTGGTCGTTTATTGGAAAGAACAAGAAATATGAATTTAATTAGGTGACTTTCTGATAGCTAGCACTTTCCTTATCAGGCTTATGTTCCATATGGTGGGATGCCTCATTCAAGAATGCCACTGCCTCCTGAGATGGCACAAGAACCAGTTTACGTGAATGCTAAACAGTACCAGGCGATTCTGAGACGAAGGCAGGCACGCGCCAAGGCAGAGCTAGAGAAGAAGCTAATCAAATCCAGAAAGGTGAACTGCATATACCATGAATATATAGTTAGTTTCTTGAGAGCTTCGATCTACTTGTGATCCCAACACGCTGCTCAATGCATCATTATTTTTTTCGTTTCTTTTTCTGCGTGCTACACAGCCTTATCTCCATGAATCTCGGCATCAACATGCTATGAGGAGGCCTAGGGGTACTGGAGGACGGTTTGCAAAGAAAACGAACACCGAAGCTTCACAGCAAAAAGCTGGCGAAAAGAGCAATGCTCATCTTACTCAGTCCCCGACGACATCTAATTCTGATCAACCTGAAGCTTGGAATGATGAGTACAATACACATCAGTCCGATGAGATGCAGAGCTCAGCTTATAAGAGAAGAGAAGAAGCAGACTGTTCAGGGCAGCAATGGAACAGCATTTCGTCAAACCATCCTTCTCAAGCTCGTCTAGCCATCAAGTGACCTCACAAGGCGGCAATTCATTCTTGGCTTTCTCTTTGTTGGTTGGCTTATTTGGTAGCAGCCATTGAAGAGTTTTCTTTCTTGTTTTGTACAAATACTTGTGTGCTTTTTTTTTTGTTTTCAGTTTGGATACGTTAAATATTGCTGCTTTTGTTTGTCAAGTAACTTAAGTAAACATTTCTTAGCGAGTGATAGATCTTTTGCCCGAGACTTGAAGTTATGAATCCAAAACTGTGATTGATAACTAAACTCCAAAAGTGTGACAAAATGAAAAGAGTAATGGAATACCACCAAATCTTTCAAGACTTTTCTTATAAGAACTCACCTCGTCTTGGTCACATAAGGCTGACTTATTGTTACAATGAACTTTTCTATATATATAGTTTTTTTATGTTTTTATATCAGAGTTGGTCCAGCCTTCAGCTTCTTCCTCGCCTTGAGTTTCATCTAGGTCGGCCTCTTCAGCATGGTCGGGACCTGCTGCATCTGATGAGTTGTTAGCCGCCTCTGTGACGTTCACAGGTGGCTGATTCTCCATCAAACCAGAGAGTGCTAGCTTTGGTGACCACTCAAGGACATCATCGATGATGTTGGACATCCTTCTTTGGTACCTGTATGAACCAAAAAAAACTCATCCAAAGTCAACCTCTACTGCAAATAAATCAGGAGCCAAGAACCCGTAAAGGTTCAGTCAAGGAGAGTACTCATAGCAATTATAGACAGAACTATCTCCCCTTGACGTGTGGCATGAATTGATGTGACCTTTGTTTAAGTTATATACCTGGCACGAGCAGCTTCATCAGGGGCATGGTGCCTAAGCAGCATGACAACAACAACAGCCACTACTGTATAGAAAAGTCTAGATGTCCACTTGGGCGGTTCTTCCTCGTCTTTCTTTGGCCAGAAACGGAACAGTTCCTTCAATGTGGCTTCCTCTGCAAGAATGTTGGGGAAGAACCACACACGCTTTCCCAAGAGAATCCACATCGAACCGAAAGCAACTGCTCTCACTGCAACATTCATGGTAATCAAGAAAGCCAAATTTCAGTGTAAGCCAAGTGAAAACAACATATCACCAATCTACAGCCAATAAATGATTGCCTAGCAGTGCGTAGTGGTAATTTGCTGTTCTATCAATTCTCAGTGGTAATAAAAAAAACTAAGAGCCAATCATGGAGTCTTCTGAGTGAAAAGACACTCTCGAGAAAGCGACTTTTTAAGGTGCAAGAAAAACAAGACCAAACAGACTATATATGTCGAGCTTACCGAAAAGCAAGGAGAGAATCATCAGAAGAATGCCCGCACATGAGTAGAGAACAATCAGTTTGCAACGGTGTGGGTACACAGGAAACAAACAAATTGCGAGAGTCAATACAGGCCAGAAGAAGGACAAAAGTGTTTGCCAGAGTGGATGCCGTTTTTCAAACGTCCATGCAAAAAAGGCATCAGTTTCAGAGAAAGCTTGATCATCCTGCGTAACAAAAGAGAAAAAAGAAATCAAAAGGCTGAAATACTTGCGCTATTTAATGCAAATCTCACTCAAAAGAAAATGGAAAACAGGCACAAACAAGAACGAAAGGACTTGATGATGAGAAGTTTTAATAAATGGATGATATCTCTAGAAATGAGATGAGACAACATGTTCAATAGACATTTTCTCTTGAAGCTTAACAGATTTGGCATTTAAACCAACTCAAAATCAACTTACACGGAAAATCTCCAGATGAGCTGGCCAGGTAGACAGCTTTTTCTTGCCGGGACGAAGAGTTTTTGTAACACGATCACAGCGGACCAAAAGGTTCTTTCCCAACAGCACATTTGCAATATCTTCTGTGTCGAGGTCTTTATCTTCTTCCAGAATCTCTTTACACTCGGGGTGATTCTTTATGAAGCTCACGAAATCTTTTCCTCTGAAGTATTCAACTCGTGCTTGCTCCATAACAGCCCATCTTGATTCCAATCCCTTGTGGTCTCTAACTTTCTCAGCAAACAACTGAAACAAATCCTTCTTCTGCTTCTAAGAAAACCAAAGAAAAGGTAGAAAATATATACAATCAGAATAAGCATTTACACAAAGCAATTAAGTAAATGCAAACAACAAAAGGATCATTTCTCACTACTCCAAAAAATCACCATCAAAGTAAACCAATTAACATTCTAGAGATTATGATTATTATTTACAGCAACTCACAGAACCAATAAATAGTAAAATGTTTCAAAAAAAATCCAAAACAAAACAGTGTTGACATTCAGGAAACGAACGAACACATATCATCGCACACATATACAATTTGGAAAACAATAATTACGAAAAAATCATATAATCATAGGTTTTTCGCTCCATCAGAGAACGAAACAGATCAAACAAAAGAGAAACGTAACCTAAGAACAAATTTTTATTTGACAGAGATTAGAAAATAAAATGGTAGAAATAAGAGCAAACCCTAGGTGGTGCATCAGAACCGGAATCTCTGACGGAGGTAGATGCAGATCCCGATGATCTTTTAACCCTCTTCTTCTCTGCTCCGACCGGCTTCTTCATCTCCCTCTCTTCTTTCGAGACGTAGAGTTTTTTTTTCCGACTTTTTCTTACAGATCTAACGTTTTTTTTTGTTATAACAGAAAGAAACAAAAATCCTGGTTTTCGTAAAACCCATCAAAACCGGTTAAATTATACACGGATTAGCACAGTTCCATCTCCGTGTAAACTAGTTCGATTTATTACCAAATATGCTATAAATTATGTAGACTAATAAACTTTGAAATTCTATGAAAACCTATATATAATAATCTCATTTTTTTTTCACAAGATAAGATTGATTTTTGAGTTTGACTAACATTTATAGTCTTCTGCCTTGTAAATAAATACCAAAATTAATGTACTAGTAGAAACATGAGTTAAAAACAAGAATAATTATAACAAATGACCAATTTTAGACTAGTATTTTCAAGAATGACCATAGTCTAATTTCCATTCCCATTTCTAATTCACTCTAAAAACAAAACGATTTTGCTCCAAAAAAAAAGCAAACGATTTTGCATTTTCATTAAAAAATCGGATTTTTCGGACGACAAAAAAAAAAGAAGTAAAAATCGGATTTTTCGTTTTCACAAAGAAGAGTAGAGAGGAAACAAAGCCGAGGAGTTCAAATGGAAGCTCTTATTGCTTCCGCTTCCTTCTTCCTCCCTTCCTCCAAGTCTTCATCGGACATTATCAGTAACCGATTCTTCCCTTCTTCTTCTTCTTCTTCTTCTTCTTCTTCTTCTTCTTCTTCTCTCAACATCAATTTCGGAACTTTTCGAAAGAGCCATATCTCTTCGTTATCACACCTCGTCTTCTCCTCTTCTGCAATTTCCGCACCGCTTTCTTCTACTGCTCTTTCCCGAAACACCTATTGGATGGTGATATTGGATAAACCTCCGCAAGGGGTTTCTTCTAAATCCGATATCGTAGATTATTATGTTCGGATTCTCGCCAAAGTGTTGGGCAAGTAGGTTCCTTTTTTCTTCTTCTCATTCTTAGTCTGTTTCTTGTGATTTTGTGATTCAACACTTTGCTTATATTTATGTTGTTTGCAGCGAAAAAGATGCGCAGATGAGTATATATGATGCTTCCTTTGATACCCATTTCGGGTTTTGTTGTCATATCGACGAACATACTTCACGCCAGCTCTCTCGTGAGTTTCATATGTTAGCTTTATTGCATTGATAGAATTGGAGATTCTGTTTCTATGGTGTTTTGATTGTGCTCTTTGAACTTAGGTTTACCTGGAGTAGTATCTGTTAGACCTGAAGCTGATTACAGTTCAGAGACTAAGAATTACGGCATTGGGAAGCAGACAGGTGTTTCCTTGTTTGATCATGGGACAGTGAAACACTGGATGGTCCGTGTAGATAAGCCAGGAGTTGGGATTGTTACCAAGGCTCAAATGGTTGATCATTGTGTTCAATTGCTATCCAAGGTTTTGTGGAAGTGAGTTTCTTTGTTTGGTTCTGCCTTGGGGAAGCTATTGCCTCCTTCAAGCTTTTAAAAGCACTTTTTACCCCCTTTCTTCGCAGTGAAAAGGATGCACAGATGTGTCTTTATCATATTTCTTGGCAGTCCAAATTCGGGTTTTGTTGTGATCTCGATGAAAAATGCGCTCAGGAGTTAGCTGGTTTGTGATACGGAAAATCAGACAACAATGTTTGTCCTGAATTAAACTAACAGATTAAGAGATGGTGTCTAATTGATGCAGGTGTCCCTGGTGTTCTTGCTGTTGTTCCGGATAACAATTTTGAGTCACTGAACAAAGACTATGAAGGTCTGTCTTGGATGCTGATCTTACGCATTGAAAACAATGTTGTGTATAATCTCACATTGTTGTAAATTTTTGCTCTCTTTCCTTTTTCCAAAAGGCGATAACAGTACACAAGATTCTAGAGATGATTCAGAGTCTCCTCCTGTTAAGACGAAGAAGCTGTTTATAACTGGTATGCGAACACTTGAGATTGTATAAACGCTTTTGGTTACATTGCAGAATTTGTTAATTTACAAATAAGTTATGACAGAAGATTACATTTACTTATAGAACATGTATCTTGGGTGTTCTCAAATTTCAGGACTGTCCTTCTACACATCTGAGAAGACACTTCGTGCAGCATTTGAAGGATTCGGTGAACTAGTTGAAGGTACTGAGGATTTACTATTCGATTCACAGGTTAAAAATATCATCGGGAAAAGATAGATAATCACAGCTTATAACTTCAATCTGCAGTAAAAATCATTATGGACAAGATATCCAAGAGATCAAAAGGTTACGCCTTTATAGAGTACAAGACAGAGGAAGCCGCAAGCGCTGCACTAAAAGAGATGAATGGAAAGGTAAAACTACCGTTTCGGACCTTAAAGTGTTTTTTTAATCTACTCAAAGTAAAGTTTTAACATGAATGTGATAGAGAGATAGGGAAAGAAGCTTGATACAGATGTTGTTGGTGATTTCTCTCTGCGCAGATTATCAACGGGTGGATGATAGTGGTAGATGTAGCCAAAACTAAACCGTTCAGACACAACAGAAGCCAGACGAGTTCGGAGTTCTAGGAACTAGTTGAAGGTGACAAAGCTGATGCCTTTTTTTTGTTCATCCATGGCTTTGAGATGCTTCAAACAAAGCGAGAACATTGAGGCTGGTGTCGTGTTGCAGACTACTAAATTCAAGCTTGAAGATGGAATTGTATTTTTAGTTTCTTTTGTTTTCTTCTTTGAGCTGCCAAAATTATCAGAATTGGTATATATAGATTATATTATCCATTTTCATTTTAGAGTCTTGATGAAAAGTCAATTTTCACTGTCAAATGTCAATGAATAATTGAAGACAACGCGTATATAATGATCTCTTCGAAAATTCATCACACGACCTCACAAGCTTCTCTTTTTCCGGTCCGTTCTGCGATTAGGACGAAACCCTAACTGGTATTTGTTTGTTTTTTTCTGCGTGATTTTGAAACACAAGTATAATAAGGCGGCGAGTAAAGGGCCTTGAGAGATTGCGTTTGTCAAAGTGGGTACAGCAATGAAAGGGATTGCGAGGATTGTGACTTCTCTTTCGCGAATCGTTTCTCGAGGAAGTACGGTTTCTTCTTCTTCTTCGTCTTCTTCTCTTCTGGTGTCTCGTCGCTCGCTTTTCATCTCGGCGGCTACGCAGTTTCCGACCAATTCACGTGATTCTCGGACGACGAATTCTGCTCTTACCTCTTCGAGATCTTCTTCACTTCCTCAGAAATGGGCTTTTCTCGGAGGTATTGATCTTCTTGGCTGTTTGTCTTCGTATTTTATTGTCATCACCATCACGAGAAGATTTTGTTTTCTTGTTCTCTCCGTCTCCTAGATCATTTGCTTCGATGCAAAATTTAGATTGTTTCATGCTTGAAGTTAGAGCAATCTTATCTCTGGAGTCTTTGAGCAGAAATTCGAATATCATGGCAGCTTTAAAGGTCTAGTTAGCTGTAACTCATGGATTTTTTTGTTTACAGGGCAGAGAAGGACGATGTTTATCCAAACACAATCGACCCCGAATCCTTCTTCTCTGATGTTTTATCCTGGAAAGCCAGTCATGGAGGTTGGAAGCGCCGATTTCCCTAACGTTCGTTCAGCTTTAGGTTCACCATTAGCCAAGGCCATTTACTCCATTGATGGTATTGTTATCCCTCGTGTTATCTGTCTGTTTTTCTGATTTAATCGCAAGACTCTGTCTTTCAATGTGATGTGGTTCTTTCTTTTTATTGCAGGTGTAGTTCGAGTTTTCTTTGGGGCAGATTTTGTCACTGTAACGAAGTCAGATGATGTGTCATGGGATATCCTCAAGCCTGAAGTGTTTGCAGCTGTCATGGATTTCTATTCTTCTGGGGAGCCTTTGTTTCTGGACTCGCAAGCTGCTGCTGCCAAGGATACTGCCATCAACGAGGTAAAGACCTCCTCTTGCACTATTGCTCCAACACTTACTTTCGTTTAGAGTGTCCTTGTCCAAACCTCCTGAATTGTTTAGGGTGTCTGGATTGTGTTTCTAACAATATCTTCAACATTTATTGAATTAATTGAGGGTAATACCAAGTTTGCTGTAAACGCTTTGTAGACATGAGATAGTTGAAATATGTGTCAGTTGCTTTTTAATGAGGTGATGAATATGAGTTAGGATCTTGAAGTAGTAGCTGATTGTGATAGCTTGACTGGGAGGAGAAACTGTTCCCCACAAATATGTTGCTCCATTAATTATTATTTGACGTTTTGAGATAAATCCTGTTGGGTACTAACAAGTGTTGTTGTATTTTTTTGCGATTTTAGGATGACTCTGAAACCGTAGCAATGATCAAGGAACTCCTAGAAACACGCATCAGACCAGCAGTCCAAGATGATGGTGGGGACATCGAGTATTGTGGGTTCGACCCGTAAGTTTTACGTACCTCAAGTTGTACCAATAACACGGAAATCTGTTGTTATTTTTTGGGTCTGTCAAGTAAAATCCTTTGGGTGGGTTTTTGATCAGGGAAAGTGGTATAGTGAAGCTGAGGATGCAAGGAGCTTGTAGCGGTTGTCCAAGCTCATCTGTTACTTTGAAATCGGGAATCGAGAACATGCTGATGCATTATGTAACTGAGGTAACAGAGATCAATCTAACAATTTCTTACTTCATACGGATAATTTTAGACCTATATGTCTGCTGAAGTTGTGGTCTTAGTTAAACCATTGAAGAGTCGAGACCTTGTTACTAATGGGGAAAAGATACAAAAACAGGTAAAAGGTGTTGAACAAGAGTTTGATGGTGAAGAAGAGGAGGGAACGTTGTCTGGAGAGGTGAGAGAGTAGAGTAATACATCTCCTCAATCTCCTCTCTCTGCTCTGCTATATTTAGTGTACAGAAGAATAAATCCCAGTGAGTGCACTGTTTTCTTTCACCCTTTGAATTGATTTATCAGAGTGTTTTGGGGCTTTTGAATCACACTCAAGAATCTCCAGAGAGATCTCGGGTGAATCTATATTGTAACTTTGTTTTACCTACATACACCAATAAAGTCTTTAAATTATTAGAGTTTTTGTAAGGAAGATATACAAGAGCTTGAAAATTCCGAGTTTTATTCCTGTTGTGAAAAGATAATGTGACTCAAAGTTTCTTGGCGATGAAGTGATTGCGTTTGGGTCTTGCGGATATAAGTATAACAATCAGCTAATCGGAACTCCTCATCCCAAAACCAAACTAGAACCCATGCGAATTCCAAGTCTCCGTTGAACCAATTTTCTTTTAACCGGCCGGTTTAAAATGTTAAATTGTAATCGGATTTAGGGTTCGGAATGATGATGCCACAGCCAGCATATAAAAAGAAAGTATTGGGGGATGAGGTGAAACTGTTTATTCGCTTTCTTCAAGATGATATACCAAACTAAATCTCTACGAAAAGCTGTCGAAGATGAACTAAACTATCAAGTCTGGTCGGAGATGATGAGAACAACGCTAACGGAGAAAGGACTTTGGGATGTAGTTCAAAACGGAATCCCGCCGGATCCGTCGAAGAATCCGGAGTTAGTAGTAGCGGCGACTCTCCAAGAAGAGATTTGTAGGTGGAGAGATGTTGTGAGAAAAGACATGGAAGCGCTCAATATACTGCAGTCTTCTCTCACAGATTCGGTGTTCAAGAAGACTCTCTGGGCAACTTCGGCCAGGGATCTTTGGGAGATGCTAGAACCAGAGGCTGCACAAGAGCATGTATCGCATGAGTTATATTATCGTCATTTGGCATATGATGCGGATATGTGGATGATACACACCGACACGACAACCTCGAACCATATGACTCCATACGAGAGTTTTTTCACCACTTTAGACAGAACGCGGAGAGCTAGGGTTACATTACTGGACGGAAGTGCTGTAATGGCACAAGGAACAGGAGATGTCAAGGTCATGACCGAGAAAGGGAAGAAGATGACGATCAAGGATGTGCTTTTCGTTCCAGGGATTAGGGCAAACGCGTTAAGTGTTGGTCAGTTGGAGATGGACGGCTATGATGTTGAGATGGGAAAACTCTTCGAATAATAGAACTCTCGCTAGTTGTTAGTTGTTGAGTTTTTACACTCACCTTTTAATCTTCAACATTATTGAGTTGATTGAGGGTACAAGTTTGGTGTAAACATATATATGTAGACATGAGATGGTTTAGAATATATGCCAGTTGCTTTTAATGAGGTGAAAGACATGGCTACATGAGTTAAGGATCTTCAAGTAGTAGCTGAGCGTGATAGAGATGAGAGAGTAGAGTCAGACATCTCCTCAAGCTCCTCTGCTCTGTTTTGATTTTTTAGTGTACAGAAGTATAAATCCCACCGTGTGCACTGTTTCCTTCCACCCTTTGAATTGATTTTTCGAGTTTTTGTTGCTTTTGACTCACACTCAAGAGTCTCCAGAGATATATCGATCGGGTTAATATCTGTTTTGTAACTTTGATTTACCTACATAAACCAATAAATTGTTTGAATTTCTAAAGAAGATATACAAGAGCTTGAATATATCGAGTATTATTCCTGTTTTTCCATGAAAACATAATATGTGACTCAAGCTTTTGTTAACATTTAGCTTCTTGGCTAAAGAAGGGCGAGTTTGCGTTTGGGGTATATCAATCACCTAACCGGATTTCCTTTAGAAGATTGTTGACCCAATCCACTCTGGTTAGCTATATACCGAATTGACTCAAAGAGAACAAAAAAAATCGATTGAGAAGCTGAACCAGAAGTTAATGCTCAGAAGTGTAACAAAGGCCTTTAAGAGCATCCACAATGGTGAACTCTTCTTGAGGTTCATCAACCATTTTTTAATAATTTTTTTTTGAATTGAACTCCACTTAGAATCCCATCCTCTTTTTTCTCTCCAATGGTGATCCCCTCTTGGGGTTTATAAAATTAAAATATTAATATGTTTTTGTACATTTTTAGAGAAAAATTATAAATTGCTAATATTTTTGAACACAAATTTTTATGTAAACCAATATTAAATTGCATTAAATGAATATTAAAAAATAACAACATTACTTTTAAAATAAAAACATACAATTATCAGTTATAATTTTCAAAACCGCCAAATTTTTGCCAAATGTGCTCAAGTAAATCAGCTTGTAGTCGGTTGTGTACTTTAGGATCCCGAAATTTTTTCCGATTACCGATCAAATTGTTGATATTTGTAGGCATATCTGTAGAATATGTCATATCCACTTCTGAACTTCTGCTTCCTTCTACTTGCTGGAATGCTGATAGATCAAATTGCGTGCATGCTAGTCGTTCGTTTTCCACAATCATATTGTGTAGTATAATACATGCCCTCATGATTTTTCCTATCTTCACCTTATCCCAAAAAAGAGCCGGGTTTTTAACAATTGCAAAGCGAGCTTGCAAGACTCCAAAAGCACGCTCGACATCTTTTCTGACAGACTCTTGTTTTGTTGCAAATAATGATGCTTTTTCACCTTGTGGGGATGGAATGGATTGGATAAACGTTGCCCACTTTGGATAAATACCATCGGTGAGGTAATATGCCAAATAGTATTGATGTCCGTTGACCCAGAAGTTAACTTTGGGAGCGCGACATTGTAATATGTCATCAAACACAGGTGATCTATCAAGAACATTTATATCGTTTAATGTACTTGGAGGTCCGAAAAAGGCATGCCATATCCAAAGATCATGCGATGCTACTGCCTCTAACACGATTGTCGGCTTTTCTGAACCACGTGTGTATTGCCCTTTCCAGGCCGTTGGGCAATTCTTCCACTCCCAATGCATACAGTCTATGCTTCCTATCATCCCGGGAAATCCGCGTGATTCTCCGATATCAAGAAGGCGTTGTAGATCTTCTGGGGTGGGTCTTCTTAGGTATTCATCAGCAAATAAGTTTATAATTCCGTCAACAAAATTTTCCAAGCAAGAAAGAGCAGTACTCTCACCGAGTCGGAGATATTCGTCAACCGCATCAGAAGCACATCCGTATGCCATAATGCGAATGGCAGCGGTACATTTTTGAAGTGCAAAAAGACCGAACCTTCCAATAGCATCTTTTTTTTGTTTAAAAAACGACACTTCTTGGGAGAGCCTTTCGACGATATACATGAACAAAGGTTTGTTCATTCTGAATCGGCGTCGAAAAATATGCGGAGGGTACACTGCATCATCAGCAAAATAGTCATTCCATAAATTCTGATGACCTATTTCGCGATGTCGTTCAATATAGGCTCGCTTTTTCTTCTTCTTTGTAGCCGCTTGGGAGTCCGCAATGAGAGCGTCAATGTGGTCATCAAAGAGATTATCTACATGCTGATCAAAAAGATCATCAACAATTTGATCTAGAGAATCGTCATCTGGATATGGGTTTGAAGAAGAAGCCATTATCTTGAAGAATAGTGGGATTGAAATATGAGAATGAAATATGAGAAAGGAAGAGATGGAAGTAGAGAGGAGTTTGCTGAAAACGATATTAAACTGGAACGAGAGGAGTTTTCTTGCAGAGATGGAAGTACAAAGTATGAGAGTAAAAGTTAAGGCATATATATACAAGTACTGAACAAACCCGTGACATCTTTATAAAGCATACAAAGCAAGAGGAACCATACAAAGCATACAAAGCAAGAGGAACCATACAAAGCATACAAAAACAAGAGGAACCATACATCATATAAAATAACCCGTGACCATTCACCAGAAAAATACAAATCAAGGAAAGTACAAAAACAAAGTAGTGGTCAGTCCTCTCTTTTACGTCTACAGCTCTCTTTTACCCGTGACCATTCACCTCTCTTTTACGTCTAAAGCTGGTAGTGCACCAAAATAAAGGAACCTGAAAGGCAAAGACATAATAAAGTGATATCAATGACTAAAACAACTTAACCTTTTCATTAAACAATATAACATTAGACAACATAACCTTTTCATTAAACAACTTAACCTTTTCCCTAAACAATATAACATTAGAGGATGATTCAAAAACAACCATTAAACAAAGCAACATTCTAAACCATTACACAGTTAAGTTTGGATCATCAGAACCTTGGCTACTAAACCGAGGGATTTCTGATGATCCAAGGTCAATTGTTTCAGGAAAAGTGTAAGATTTGTCTTGTTGTGAGGTTAGGAGGTTTACAAATGAAGTAGGTGAATCCATATGGTTGGCTTGGGGTTTAGAGAATTGAAAGACGAAGAAAGTTTGGAGAAGTGCTTACTGAATCGAATGAATAATAAGGTTTGGAGAAGTGGTTACTGAATCGAAAGAGGAAGAAAGGAAAAAAAGTTTTTGAGAATTGGTTAGTGAATCGTTCTAAAGAGTAGTGTTGTTTTAAGAGTAAAAGACATGTGTTTAGAATGATTTGTTTTTTCAGTAGCAAAGCAAACAAGTTTATAGTTGGTTTAAGTTTGTTATTCAATATTTTTAAAAGTTTTAAAAAGTTTTTATGAGTTAAAGAAGTTAAAGCAATCACCATAACTATTCACCAAACAAAATGTACTATTGTGTTTACTCGTTAACTACTTTGCCAACTGTATTACTTCATATTAAAAGCTGTTTATAAGGCATCACCAGACATTTACCAACTAAAGTAAACCAACACTCATCACTAAGCCATTCACGCAGAGTTCTTAAAAGTAAAACTAACTATAAGCTAACTATAGAAGAGTTTCAATCACACATTAAACCCTAACTCGATCATAAAACTATGTATGCGAATGAAGAAATGAGCAAACAAACGAGTACATACTCCATGAACAGAATAGACGAGTAGAAGAGATGAGTAAACAAAACCAATTAAACTACATCAAACCCAGAAAACTAAAGAGAACAATTAACAATTCCCGAAAACAAAAAAATATCCAATCGATTCGAAGTATGATATGCAGTAATGAAATTATACAGATGAATGCTTCACCACATATGAATCGAAAAATGCTAAAGACAATCATATTCATACGATGAATCAAAGCAGAGCCCCAAACTAAACTCATTCAAATCGATTGTATCTTTTTTATACATAAGACAAATGATATACAAAACCCGAATCGAAATATGCTACAGAAATCTTCTAACAATAACTCACACACACACTAAACTCATTCAATTAAACCTACTTTGATTCCTACAAATTTTCCCCAACTTAGCAAACCCTAATTTCAACCACGTAGATCCAAATTCTATAACAAATAAATAAAGCAGAGAGATTACCTTCAAAGACGTGAATCGATAAACCGAAATTGATCTCGCCGGTGTCGAAAGCGCAGGTCTCGCCGATTCTAGGTTGAATCTGTGGAAATCGCCGGTGGTGAAGAGAACACGAAGGAGAGAAAATGAGAGATGGTGGTCGAAAATGAGAGAAATTGTTTCCTGACATTTTTTTTACCCAGGCGAATAAGAATACGACACCTGTCCATGAACCTCTCAAAAATGAAGCTCATAAAATCTATCCTGAAAGGGCAGTTCATCACAATAGTGGGTTCACCTATTTTTTTAAATCATTAATGGGTTATGAATCCAGTTGATGAACCCCTTTAAACCCTGTATTAGACCTGCTATAAAGTTTAGGGTTTAGGGTTTAAATAGAAAGGTGTTGGGATGAGGGAAACAAATCAACAATTGCTCGATTTCTCCAAGAGAATTTTACAAGAGAGGACAAGTCGAGAAAAACCTTGAAACAGTTTGCGGCTATGGCGACGGTGAATACACCACCGACTCTACAAGACGTTGTTTCCGGTGACCTTAACTATGACATCTGGGCTCCAATCGTTAAAGCAACACTAGTGGAGAGAGGGCTTTGGGACGTCGTCGAGAACGGAATCCCGCCGGATCCGTCGTCTACTTTTCAAGCCGGAGATCTTTCCGAATGGAGAGATTCCGTGATGAAAGACACGAAAGCGCGTCAGATACTGCAAATTTCTCTCCCGGATTCGGTTTTCAGGAAGACACTCGAGGCCCCCGCTTCGGCCAAAGATCTCTGGGATTTGCTAAAAGAAAGCAACGAACAAGCCAAGCTAGAACCGGAACTCGAACGACTTAGAATGGAGAAAAGAGAAAGTGTCTCGTCTTCCTACGTAGATAGACTTGTGGAGATGGCTGTTGATGATCCCTGTTTTGCAGGTGGAGAATCCGAATCTCAGTTAACCGCCACGCTACTTTTGCTGTCAGATTCATATGACGGCTCAGTCTCGATGATGGAGAACCTCATGGGTCTGCAGAATCCGACTTTCAACAGTCTACGTGAGCTTCTTGATATGTTTGAATCAGCACCAGTGGAGACCTTTTATGAAACTTTGAAGGTTGCTGGATCTTTATCCAATTATAGAGCGATCACAAAACTGTTAACCTCGCTGTCAGATTCATACGATGGAACAGCTCCGGTGATGGAGAATCTGAGTTTTAACCGTGTTCGTAAGTGCCTTGGTGCATTTGAATCGGCACCAGTGGAGGCCGTCTGTAGATCGCTGAAAATGTTGGAGGTTGGATCATCATCATCACCATCGGAATCGAAACAAGATTGTTCTCCGGTTACTAGGGAAGATGATTCAACGAAATCGAGGCGTAAAAGAGGGGAATGCTTTCAGTGTGGAGGAAGAGGGCATATTGCTAGAGACTGCAACAAAACCAGAAAGGATCAGCAAAGACAAGCTGAGAAACAAAACCAAAGCAGGGATGAAGTTTTACCTGAATATCAAATGTTTGCATTCGATATTGGTCATAAGACGTATGATAAGGATATGTGGATGGTATACTCCACAACCTCGAATCACATGAGTCCATATGAGAAGTATTTCACGACTTTAGACAGAACACACAAGGCTCGAATCAAGTTCATCACCGGAGATACTATCATGTCCGAAGGAATCGGGGATGTGGTGATCATGACTGGTAAAGGGAAGAAGACGACGATCAAGAATGTGCTTTATGTTCCTGTGATCGACAGAAACGTTTTGAGTGTTGGCCAGTTGACACAACAAGGCTATGGAGTTGTAATGAGCGTAGGAAAATGCACCATAAAGGATCAGAATGGGAGATTGTTCGGTCATGGCATTTGGGAAGAGAGAGGCTATTTTCTGCGGTTACAGGTGCTTGAAGCTAATCTCACCTCTTAGCTGCTTAAAAATCTTGGTTGTGGACTCAACTCGTAAGGTTTATGTAAGGGATTTCACCCCTAATTACACTAGTAAGGCTGGTTAATTGCTAAGCTTTTGTCTTTTTTTTTTTTGGGTAGTAAACTAAGTTTCTAGGTGGGTTAATCATCATTTAGACTTCAACCGATGTAATAGGAATGACCAAGAACAAGTTTCAACCCAATACAATCTGTTTGTTTGAGGTTCCAGGTCCAGAAGCTTCTCATTGTTTTGCCGTGGTTAGCTCTAATCACAAGTTAACCATTCTTGTTGACCATTAGTAGAGAGAAGCTTGCGTGTAGTGTAGTGTACGGTCAACCACTTTAAACCGAAGCAATCCGTCTAAATTGAACCAGACTTAAACCAAATTCATTTCCATCCATAACCCATCCCCGTTATATCCGTCCCTGAACCGATTCGAAAATTTCCGGTTTAATCGTATTAATTAATTAATTTCATCACACATCTGGAATTTGAACCGAGTAATTGACCCAGTTCTCACCGAGTTTGAATTTGAAACGTCCCAATTCATTTGGCGGTTTCAAAATGTAATTTAGGGTTTTACGGTGTCACTATATAAAGAAAATGTTGGGAAGATCAAGGGAGGAGTCTAATCACTTTCTCCAAGAGAATACTGTATACAGAGAAACAAATAACGTAGAAAAGAAACGGCTATGGCGGCAGCGAATAAATCCGACGAACTCGACTATGAAACGTGGGCTTCGGTCGCGAAAACTACACTAATGGTGAAAGGACTTTGGGATGTTGTCGAAAACGGAGTCCCGCCGGATCCGTCGAAGATTCCAGAGTTTGCGACGACGATTCAAGCCGAAGATCTTTCAAAATGGAGAGATCTTGTGAGAAAAGACATGGAAGCGCTCCAGGTTTTGCAATCTTCTCTCACAGATTATGCTTTCAGGAAGACCCTCTCTGCATCTTCTGCCAAAGAAGTTTGGGATTTGCTTCGAAAAGGTAACGAAGAAACGGAACTAAGTAGATTAGAGAAGCAATTCGAAGAGATTAGTATGGAGGAAGGAGAAACGCTCGGTTTCTACATAGATAGAGTTAGGGGAATCGTTGAACAGTTGCGTCGTTTGAATTGTGTGAAATCTGAGTGTGAGGTTACCATGAAGGTGTTGAAATCGGTTTCAAGGCCGTATAATATTGTAGCTCCGATTTTGGAAGAACACATGGATCCCAAGAGTATGACTAGCTATATCGTGGCCCACCC